CTTTTTCAATAACCTCTCTCACTTCCTCCGCTGAGTTTTCACCGATTGCGCTCAGAAGCATGGCAGAAGGAGAGAAGGAGATCTTTCGGCTTCGCTGCTTCTCTTGTGATGTTTCGTTGTTATTGATATCACCATCATGATGATTTTTTACCTTGTAAATGGGTTGTGACTGTATAGTTCCAAAGAAGTGCTTTCGAAGTCTTAAAATGACTCTTACAAGCATTGGAACGGCGTCGTTCTCTTTCATTTGAAGGCGCCTATCAAATATGCCCATCTCACCCTGCTCTTCATCTAAGAAGTATTTCTCTCGACGCTTTCTGTAGGTGGATGACGACTCTTTTCGAGCGTTCAAGACATATTTGGAAATGGCTTTCAATTCCTCTCTGAAATCTTCAACCGTTGGGATTCCTGTCTGGCACTCACACTGGTACTGGCATCCACAAATGCTATCAGTCATTGAGAGATCACTGGTTTCTACACTTGAAGTTGGCGATGCCACTCTTCTTGGCCCAGCAGCGTATTCCCGTTGAACGATATCTGAGTCTCTCAGAAAGTGTTCGTGGAGAGTCGGGGCGTAGACAGGTCTTGGTAAAGGGGACAGCCTGAAACTACGCATATGGTTTTCGCTGTCCGATGTGGAATCATTGTCCTTTATGTATGTCTGGACAATAGAGCGCTTCTCCTTTTTCTCCAAAAATGAAATTGGCGAGGCCGGATCAACAAATCGCGTCCTATCTTCAAACCCGGGAAGACGATGAATAGAATCACTGCCGAGCTTGCCGTGGTACATTTGTTCGCTGTGAGAACTGACACTTGTAAGCGAAGAATAAGGGCTTTCTGATTCAGATGACTCAATATTTGAAGTGCGATCAAGGTTAATAGGTTTTGAAAGAGGCTTGTTCTCTGAATGTGGGTTTGGCGTTGCAGGAAAAAACACGTCATCGCTTATCGCAGACAGCAATGTTTCGGAAAACCCGCTTTCTGTTAAAGTGTCCGTGTCCAAGGGAAATTTAGATTGAAAGTCACCGCATAATCCTCTGTCATCCAATTTCATTTCAGAACGCGTTTCCCTTGTCTGCAATCCATCTTTTCTGGGATTTATGTGTGGTCTACCATCTGGGCTTTGGGCAACTTGCTCAAAACGGGGATGATTCGGAGAGACTTTGGGCTGTAATTTGTAGCCGCCGGTTGCTTCTCTGCTATCAGCATCACTTGTTTTGTAGTCATTGTTATAACCAATAATTCCATAAACAAGATCAGCGAACTGTGAAATATGACTATTGACATACTGGGATGAAGGTTTTGCTTCGTTTACCCCATATGACACACTGTTCATGTTTACGTTTCTTGACATAAAGTGATTTCGAGCTACGCTATGTTTTTCTCCGTTGTGTTCTCTGTGTGCAGACGGTCTTTCATCGTCAATCAGCTTGGAATCGGGACCATAATCTCTTTGTGTCCGTGACATATGAATCATTTGCATCTTAATGACCTCTTTGCCTTCAGTGTCATAATTAATTTCGTCCTGTACAAAATGCTGAGTTCCTTTCTGGTAAGGTTTCATTCTGTCTGTTAAATAAACATTACTTTCGTACTTTCCATTCTTGGCGAGTAGTGGATAATCCGTCAATACTCGCTGTTTGCCTGATACCATGTTTATCGGAGATGTGTATATATCGGGATTTGTATTTAATGAGACTGGATTCCTTTCAGAAGAGATTACATCTTGGATATACATATCAACAAAATTGTTATTCGTTTGGTCACCTTCTGATGACCCAGAGTCAACACAAATTTCGTTAAAAGAAAGTTGCTTGTCTTTTTCTTTATAATAATTGCTGATCTCAAGTGATTGATCATTCGACCCCTGTTTGTTCTCCGTGATTACATCGTCACAGTACATTGACTTTGAAGAGTCATTACAAATTCCATCAAACGTTACCTCGTCGGAAGAATACATTGACTGCGCTTTTGATTTTTGCAACAAAGGCCTTAACTGCACAGTAACTGCTCGTTGTTCCTTTAATTCGCCATCTTTAACACCTCTTTCAAGTCTTTCAGAATTTCCTAGGTATCTATCATCGCGATTAGGGGCTTCTCTTGATGAGTTTTCGCCATTTAGCACAGTGCCCTGAGATGAACCCTTTGCCGTTGCTATGCCAATCGTGAGTCCATATCTGCAGCTTGAAGACGAAGTTGTATTGGGCTCGTTTGATATAATTTTCTTGTCTTCATCGTATTCTATGTCGAATGCTCCTGCGATCCTATTTTTCTCCTCAAAAGGTTCATAAGCAATGGAATGCGATCCTCTTGAGTTGAGTAAACAATCTTCTAAATTCATTGTCTCAGAGTCATTTCTATTCCATTGAGTACACATTTGTTTTTCACTCGCTACAAATCTACTTTGGCTCAGCGGTGAAGCTCGATTTGTGGATGATACCGGTGTATTAGAAATATTTGATTTGTTACTATCGCTATCATTTACATCCGGATTATTCACTATCTCTTTATCGCCATTCAATGCGCTTTCGCTAATGTACTTACACGCACTGTCATCCATTTCTGACCACGTGAAGGTTTGTTTTTCTGACGGAAACGTGTAGGATTCCTTATCTTTGTAGGAACCGACCGGAATGATCAGATACGAGCGTTGTAGCTCCTTGCCTTCATCTTCAGCCGTTCCATCAAAACCCTCACCATCATGATCGTCATCGCTAGAAAATGGTTCTGAACAACTTGAACCAAAGGCATTTCTTCTATCAAACTTTCTACCCGCCATGATAGCCGATGTTGCGCAAGAAGAGCTGTCTTCAGTGAGTAGACTGGCTGCCAAATCTTCTTGAATCGCCAGACTAGTTTCAAGCTTTTTTTCCAGCGATTGGATTTTCCATGAAAGAAAGTGCAGCTCGTCGAGTATTTTTCCATCATTAGCCATGTTGGTTATCAGATTCTGGATTATTACAATCCAACTAAATGTTACATTCAAAAGTGCCTGATAAAAATATCAACTTGGTAGCATTAGTTGATTACTAACAGGTCAGCATTACTGCTACATGCCTGTCTGTTTCTGCTACAAGTCCCCGCCGAAATTTGCCCACATATCGACGAGTATTTCAGAGCGGTGTTAATGGTGCATGTTGTGACCTTTGAGTGGACGCTGGTGTTGATTCTCTAGGGACACCCTCATGGTGACAGCCACATTGTCATGCGCGTTGGTGCCTGGAAGGAAGTTTAAAATCTCGAACAATACCCACTGCGTGGTATTATAATTACTTTTTAATTGCTCCATTCTCGTGTTTTTAGCTGCTTTTAAAAATATATTTTACTTTTATAAATATATCCTTAATGTCATCAATGCACGCATTGGCATGCGTTTATCAGCACGTACTTGTGAAATGAACACGTAACATGCGTGGCAACAATCACTCGCAACACCCAGATTATCGCATTCTCGGCATATTCTGATTACACACCTTCTACTTAGCGACAATTCATGATAATTATTTCCAAAATTAATTCACACAAAGTAATAGCTACAATAAAATACTCTTTTGAGTATCTCTTCAAAGTAACCAAAATCAATCTTTTCTCACTTCGGCTGACGCATAAGCTGGCCCGTCCCATGAAGTTTAATTTGACCCAGGCGGGGATGGGGGTTGGCGGGGCCACTATTCGGCATGCAGAATGGTGAAAGGCAGTACAAAGTACCTCAGCGAGCTCCAAATCAGTGTCAGGAACCAATGTGGACGCAATGAGTGATAATTGATGAATTTAACAAGACACTAAAAGCAACTCCAAAAGTTAAACTTTATTTTATGCCATTATATTTTCGGATGAATAAAGACAAAAAAAGGGAAAACTGCAAAGCATTGGAATGTGCCACTCCCGGGTTTTTTCTCTAAAAAGACGTGTGTTTTAAGCTTAACGTGTTCTTGTGGCTAACACGTGTGGTCTGAGATAAGGGAGATGCGAATTCCAAATAAACCTACTTAATACTCATAAAGCTTATGTGAAATGGGTCATTGATTTTATTCTTGAAGAGGGGAAGGGGGTATAAGACCACTTCTGACACCGCAAACAAAAAAAGCACGAATTATGGTTGCGTAAGACGAGAATGAAATTGAACGCTCATTTATACAAGGTACCATATCGGAAAGCAAAACTTATGGTGGATATACTGAATTTAAGTGATCAAATCTCCCCATGAATAATGACCTGGCCAGGAGCCATGGCTGAACGCTGGCACAAAATAAAATGAAATGAAATGAGATAAGTAAGTTATAAGTGTATAAATAACAAAGTACATAAATGAAAATTACAGGTCGTACATCAGTCCTAAAACGTACAAATCATTTTTCCTTTTTTTTTCTTTTTTTTTTTTTTGCCAATTTCAATTTGCTGTCCTTGATTTAATACCTCTCAATCTAAATCTGTTGTAATTCGAATACCCAGCACTAGTAAGGGTTTTAAAGCAAATTAGGAGTCACATTTTCGTGAAACAATTTGACTGCTCCTTGGTCTCGAAGGATGCGTTTTCTAGAACTAAGTGTTAAAACTTGCTTTCACTTCTACTATGGAACCTTTTCCTACGTACATAAAGGAACACTTTGTTTAATAAGATACAGACAAGTGTGTGAAATATTTCTTCCATTTGCAGTTAAATGCACCACTGGTGTAACAAGGGACATTGGCCAACGTTCGATATATTAAAATGCTAACATGACTCCGAAGCTTTCTGGTCATTTTTCTACATTTAGGTTTGCTTTTCTTTGTGCTCAAGTCTATTCTGGGAATTGCCAGACAATGGAATATATCGAACGTGGGCTATTCGCAACGACGATTTTTGGTGCAATTCAGCGTTGCAACATTCAGTTGCGATATTTTTTCGATTGGTTGCAGCATTGTTTTAACATATGAGCCTGTTAATCTCGCGATCAGAGAATCGCAGAACGGGCATGATAACAAAGAATTTTAGACAAAAAAAAATCTGAAAGTCTGGACTCGACTCGACTCGACGTTCAAAACACAATTTTTGAATTAATTTTTATTCAAATTGTCTCTTTTACGATTCGAAACTGACCACTACTATGCTTTTGGGCTCATTTCTGAACCATCGAGAGCTTGCATACTGTAACGGGCGGCCATCTTGGTTTCATATACCGAGGGGGTGGGCGTCGGGGGTTAATCATAGTCGGGGGTAGAAACCAAGACGGCTGCCATATTGAGCGTTCGACTCGAACTCTGAGCTGGAAAGGAAGGTAAACAATCTGGCAAACCCACGGCTTTAAACCAAAAATTGGCCTTTAATAGTCATCGAAATTCGTCAATTGTTAAATGTGCTGGGTATAACTATTATAATAAAGAAATAAATGTAGTCTCCTTGAAACCGTACTTATCAAAAATCGACATCAATTAAAAAGTTAATCAGTATAGTGTATTCAGATAAACTACTTGAAAAATATTGCAGAGTTGTTAGGTTTATCAGAGTGAAAAAAGCCGATATGAAATAAGTAGACAGTGGTAACTTACTTTAATGTCATCCAAAACGACGTGGTTCCTAGCATTAGATTTTAAAAAAAGGAGAGAGAGAGAGAGAGACGAACAATCTATCAGCTTTCCCTAAAGGCTAGATTACAATCATTTTTTTAATTATTTATAGCCTAAGGGGGGATACAGCATGCAAGTCATGTATCTTCAATTACTGTGTGGTAGTGGCCCAGCCATAAAAATAATAACTTGAATCTGATTCGTGTAATACTAAAAAAAATAAATATGACCATTTAATCTTTCGTGTTGTTGTTTACTCAGATACTGTTGAACACAGAACATTTTTCTTTTAAGTAAACACAATTATTATTTGTTTAAAATACATTAAAATGCAAAATTAGAAATTTTTCTATTTAAGTGAATTTTTCAGAAGGACAATTGCTCTTTTCCGGTTCCGATCGAAACAACCACCTATACCGCAAACATGAAACACAGAGATAAACATTTACCTCAACGACGTTCGCATTTTTTTATTTGATATGGTACTTCAATAAGTTTCAGGTGAGATACGGTTGAATGATTGCATACGTGTCCTTCAAACATTCGCCTCAAAGGCACGATAACAACTCTTGGATAAAACCCGGACGTCTTCGTATTCCTTTAAACGTCGATTTGTGTATTCCTCAAAGCTCGCTCCCGACTCAATTAACAGTACAAGACACTCAAATTGGCACGCTGAAATCGCTAAACCGACTGCGAGCGAGTTTGTAGAGTCTCTCAAGTTTACATCGGCCGAGTTATTCAATAACACACGAACACAGTCGACTGCACCGCGTTGAACAGCTCGATGAAGCGGTGGAAGTCCACGGGAGTTTGTACATAAATTCACATCAATCTTGTTCGTTTCTATAATTTCAGCCAGCTCAATTGAAGCGTTTTCTTCGATCGCCGAAAATAAAAGCACATCCGCGGGAAAAGCGACATTTTTCGTTCCTTCGCGCGAGCGCCTTTTTATGGTTCGAAGCCCATTACTTATGGCTAATTGCTTTTGTCTGCATTTCAAAATACACTTGTAAAAATTCTTGGGACTTGAGGTCCATTGATTCACAATCTCTTTCTTTTCTTTGTTGAATATTTCAACCTTGCGCTTTGCTTTAAAACTTATTAATTTATCGATGTCGTTGAGCCATTTGCCTGTACTACATCGCGTATCGTTTGTGTTCTCTGTCACTGTGCAATTTGTATCTCCCTGACCATCATTTCGTGACCCGAATGAAACTTTAGACTCTTCCGTGATGAGTGAATTGTTCACCCTGTCTTTCAGATTGGGCGAGCTTTCTCCTTTCCGCCGAAAGCAGTTTTTGCTCTCTACCACCGGCATATTCATTGGTAAAGTTATAGTCTGTGCCCCTTTCGTTTTGTGGACAGGAAGCGAAGTATATTCAACACCTTCTTCCAAATAGTCTGATTGCCTAATCGCAGCCGCTTCAAGATCCTTGAGATGGAATTTCAGGGTTGATAAATACGGCGGCATATTTCCCTTCAAAACGTCGCTTTGGGATTTTTCTTGTTTTTCGTCTTTACAAGGCAACGTATTCTCCACTTCTTCGCGAAATGTAGCCTCCGCTTTCACTGTTCTGGATCTGCCTTTGAATACTGGCATTCCAATATTGCCGCTTTTCCTTTCATCGGGTGAACTGCGACCTTCATAATTTAGAATCCTTAAATTGCAGCAAATATAATCAGAAAAACTACGCGGGTGCGGATCTCTTATCTGTCGCTCTTCGGTTTACTTTCACCTCGGCAGTTCTTCTCTCGCACTGGTTCGTTTGTCAACTACTGGCAACCACTGTCCAATAATATAACACTCGAAACTTTCAAAATGTACTATCAAGTTTCAAAATTTCGAATATTGCACGTATTAAAAGCGGACTTCCTGTGTCTCCAACAGGCACGCTCCACCTGAATCGAAGCATTTTGCCGTTTAAGTGGATGGTTGGGATTTTTCAACGTGTTTTACTGTGTAGATTTTGCCAAGCTACAACGCGTGTGTGTTAACATCACGGAAGACTTCACACGACCCTAGGATTGAGTTAAAACTATATTGCACATAAATGACATTCCCTGGGGTGCAGACGTCATCTTTAAATTTGCATAAATGTCAAAAATGACGATATTGGTTTTCTGTTTGATTTGTTGCTATATCGATTCGAGCAAGCTTTTAAAGCCAACTTTTATTCAAGGCGTTGTATCTTCTAAACCAAACAGCTGGAGCTAACATTTATTGGATGTGCAATTTAATGGCAAGCATTTTTTAGACGTTCAGATCCCCGAACAAGTTAAATCAGGTCGTGCATATTAACACTTGGCGCGTGTTTTGTGGGCGCGAAGCCAATCAAGCACTCATCAAGTTATTGTATTTGTTTAATGAATTAGGTGATAATTGTAGATGAAAACCATCAAATGGCAACTTCCTTAATTAAAATAGCCCCATAATGAATCTGTTTTGTTCCTGGAATGGAAAATGTTGCGATGTCGTGTCAGTGTATTTAATTCACCCTTGAAGGCCCTGAGATACCTATACTGTGGTGTATGCGGGGGTGTAAACAGGAAATGAACGTGCCACGCGATCTGTTCGGAAAGGTTCGTTTCTAGAATCTGCACCTAAAATATTACACTTAAATATTGCATAGGATATAGTTAAAATAATGAACGTCTATTTTCTGTACACTGCTATTAATAGCCTATCGCGTTCAAATAGTCGGAACGGCACAAAGAGAAATGCGCAGGAAAAAAGGGGGCGGGGAAGAAGCGGACTGTTGACAATAACTTTCAAAATGAAACAATCATACCAGAATCTAAAATACCGAAACGAGCTTTCGTCAAAAAAGTAACAGAAGGCTATTGGTTTCTTATGATAGGTTCTCAGTTTCCAAAGAAAAAAAAAACAATATAGCTAAGAGTATTTGGTGGTTCAGTTGCAGAAGTTTTTCATAGATTTTAGGAAATAATATATAGATTTAGCCAGGGCTAAAAGCGAAGCTCCCATTAATAAATTTATAATTTAAATCAAACAATAAACTTGTAATCCACAAATCAGTTAACTTAAGGGCACATCTGTGACTTTTTAGGGAAAGCTAAGGCTAAGTGATTTTAGAGTGAAAAAAAATCTTACATCGAATTGATAGCCGTATATATACACCCAAAAAATAGCAATCATCTTCGATCACATTTAAGAGCCATAATGGCTCTTGATCACTGTAGATTAGGCCTGGAAAACGATTGTTTGGAAAACAAATCAGGCCGAATTTTTTGCGTCCGACAAGTTTACTTAACAAAATCTTGCCAACAACTCTGGGAGCGTGTAAACCAACATTTCATACTTTTTATACATCACATCTGAGGTGAAACAGTAATATGAGGCGTTGTTTTTATCATGCAGACCTCAGACAAAATGCAGTATTTCACAATTTTTCAAGACAAATTGCACTTATTCAATATTCAAATTTCCAAAATCACCTATACGGCCAGCCGGTTCTCACTTTTGACAAGCGCCAAATTTTCAGTGAACATTAAAAGAGTTACGCTTCAACATAATAAATAATTTATTGTGTTTATTTTTTTTTATTAAATGGTTTTATAACGATGTGTAATCTTAAAAAGCGTTTGATACGCGCGGCATTTTGAGTACTCCTGCAAGCGTTGTTTATGAACGAATGAAAACAAACGGAAAGCGATTAAAATTGCAAGAGACTACTAACAATCAATAAAAGAAATGTAATTCGGTGAAACATTTACAGAGACAACAATTTTCATTCACGGAGACAAGTATTAAAGCGTCTCTAAAAATCCTGAGTCTTTAAGCTTAAGCTTAAAGATTTTAGCCGGCTTCCTGGTGTTTACTGTTTTCACTGTGTTTTCAAAGATGAACTCGAGGAAAGAAAATCGCTCAAAGCTTTCTTTCTACAGCCAAAATTATAACTAAATACTCTTCGGAACGTTTTTTCGTTCTATACGCGGAGAGAAAATATCGGCTAAAGGCTTTTTAAAGCTCTGTAAGCTTATATATACTAGATCAGATCATTGTCTCAGATCTTAATACAAACGTGCATAAATTAGCCTCATAAACTGCGCTCGACTTCATGAAATTAGATATATAAAAAAAAAAAAAACATACACTGTATACAATAATTACTTAGGCTTACCATTCGAGATGCAGCTCTTAAAAGCTATAAAGTAAGGCCAGAATCGCTTGAGGGACTTTTCAACCCGCACCCAGCAAGGTGAAAAACGAAAACGATGCATCCGAAATCGGATTTCCAACTTTGACAAGCGGCGCATTTCCCAACCAAAAATTCAATAGACAAACCAGCCATGAATGAAAGAAGACTGGTGATAGCAGCTGTATCTCATTTTAAGCATCAAGTGGAAAAAGACAGTAAAAAACATCACAAGTTGACAAAATACTCTGTCAGCTTCAGCTGTCAAAGTAAGCAAGGTTCAAGATGTTGTATAAATTTTCTGCATGAACTCACCTGTCATATTTTGACCAATCAGAGCATAAAAATTGGACGGTCGTAGAGCGTGATCAACGCGTGACTATGGTGAGAAAAGTGAAAAGCCTCTGTCTTCCCTGCTTGTATTTTTAAATGACTGGCTGAATTTTCGAGTCCGAGATCAGTTTGAAATCAAAATGTTAATAGCGCGGGGCCAGAGTGACATTAACACAACACTTTCTGTCATCATGTCATTATTTTGCTGCCGTTCTCTTTGCCTTTGCATTTCTCTTTCGCGTTGCCTTTGTCTGTTCATTCTAGCTCTCCCTCGTTCTGCTTGCCGGCGTTTTTCACTATAATTTTCTTTCCTTCTTTTCGCTCTGACTCTTTCTACTTGCCGACTTTCGTCGCTAAAATTTTGTCTTCTTCTTCTACTTCTAACGCGCTCTCTTTGGCGATCGTTTTCGCTTGCTCTACGCGTGTTGACTCTTGCTCTCTGCCGTTCACCTTCTCTTTTCTCTCTGCTTAAAACCTGTCGTCTACACGCTAAAATCTCTCTGCTGTTGTTTGTTGACATAATAGCTTTCGTAAGTTGTATTAAAAAGTTATAAAGGCTCTGTCGAAAAATCTTTTTGCTTAGTTGCTTTGAAATTTCTTTTTTCAAAACCAGTTGCGCGATTTATATTGCTCGACGTTGCGCCATGCGATTTTCCGCCAAAAAATCTCTACTTTCCCCTACCCCAAGAGTCCATGAGGACTACTTTCAACTACCCGGAAAGTCCGTACGGACGGACGTACGCTGACGTCATAACCAAAATTTCTCCGATGGATAGTTTACCAATTAATTATCTTAGTTATGGTGCTCCGCTCGAGGGCGCCAGGAGCTCTGCTAAGAACCTGTTTCAAATTTTAGGGCTAACAGGTTCTTAGTCGCGGAGTTTACTGTATATGAAATGCCCTACACTATCTCTCTTGCGAACTAAATGAACGTCTGTGAGGGAATCCTGGGTAATTGCAGCAAGAGATTTAGGGCTTGAGGGTTCAGCAACGTGTCAGACCAAAGGCCTTTGCGCCTCGCGCAACTTGCTCTCGCAGCGCAGATACAGTACAGATACGGCTCCTAAGAGGCCTTTCTGCGTCATAGGCCGGGAGGCTCTTGAGAGGAAAAATAAAAGCGCGCGGGACTTTTTACTATTTTTACTCTCCCTACTCGTCCTCCGTCATAAAATCAAAGATGGTGGTTACAGCAATACGAACACATACAACAAGCTTTCGCCCGCCCAAAATACGCCTGCACTGCAGGCTAGCGGATGCCTCTCTGGATATGAGACTAAAGTGGCCGGCTGACTAATCAGAGGAAAAAGGCTGGTAGGGAATCTATCAGAAGCCGAGTGAATTAAGGTTGGTGCACTTTAAATGTCAATGCTGCTGGGAATGGCTATATGACTACTTCATGCATGATTCTGCGTTTTTCTCCGAATATTGTGAAAGAATCAGCTGACCCCTGAAGAATGACGAGATGTAATTGACCAAACTCATCCTGAGTGGGTTCCTGGAGAAAATTTGAAATAATTACCCGCATTCTCGATTTTCACTGTCACGCCAATCGAAAAATTAAAAGTGCAAACCATTCAATACAGAAAGTCTAGAATCAATATTCAAAAAGCCTTGCCAAGAATCAAGTCTTTGCAATATTTCATATGCGAGATATCTGGCACAACGTTTTACTCAAATTTATAAAGCTCTGAGACGCCATGTTGGTGTCCCTTTCAGGGGCACAAATATGGCCGCCAGAAACCAACAGAAACATCGGTTTTTAAGTTTTCCTACTAATGTGTGAATTCTTCGCTTGAGGAACTCATAAAGATTGAAGTAATATTTATTCTGAGACAAGGAATCTTTAGATAGGAAAATCTCCAAAAATATATAATAAGAGCTTTCCAGGCCATCAGCTAAATGCCGCGTCACGCAAAAGAAATTCAACCGTCCTCTATCGCAAAACGAAGAACCCTTTCGAACCGAAAATTTGTTTGGGTAAAGGTGTTAAGGTACTGTGCAAGTAATACCTTATGAAAGTTAGACTCCCCGCAGACGTCCTTTGGGGTTCGTTCGTCACGGATTCATTTCCCCCCACGAACCCCAAAGGACGTCTGCGGGGAGGCTACGTGAAAGTAGAAACTCAGAAGAATCGATAGCTTCTTAGTTTGAATTTTGGTGACGTCATGTAAAAACCGGAATTGGTGCATGCGCAACAATCGTGAGATAATATGCATGAATGTGTGACAGAATAAATAACAAGAATCAATGAGTGAAAGTCCAACAAAGAAGACATAAGGATGGAGGGGGGGATGAAAGAAAGGATGCCGACGACGAGCGGTCGAACAGAGTTACTATAGCATAACGGGTGCAGTTGCTTTTGCTGATCAGGATGTACACAATCGAAGAAGACCGAATAAGGGTCGCCAATGGGGACTGAATCGGATTCTGTTGTATATATTGCTAAAGCCAAATGGGCGAAGTACATAATTTGTGAATTAGAATCGAATGCAAACGAATGTTAAAACTGATATACCCCTGAAATCACTTCATGATAAAATTACGCCTTTAGAGCGCAAAACATGGTCGCTAAAATGTGACCACTGACGTAAACCTTGCATATCGCAGTTGTTGGTGTTGTTGTTGTTGTTTTTTTTTTTCAATTGCAACCATTTTGGCAAAATGAACAAATTTGAGAGAACAAACTTTATTGCAAGTATTATGAGCATGATATATTGTACACTGGTTTCCAAAGCTTTCGCTTTACGCCTTTCGCTTTAGTAAAAGGCTGCACACTAAAAGGAGGAACCCTATGGTTTTTTTGAATACCAATAAACCACCCCGAAAACAGGTCGCTAAATCTATTCAATCTTCAGTTAACCAAGAAGTGTAAATTAATGAGTATACGAAAACTTAACGGTGAGAGAAAATCAAGACACACGCTTACATGGTTCATGTAATTGTAAGTGCGTTTCACTAGCAATATACCAATCCTGACAATCCAAGTTGTGTCATCAATGCGTCTATCAAACTAGAATCAGAAAAAAATATGTTTTATTGTTCAGTTAAATACGATCAGTTAATTTAATCATAGTTTCTATTTCGAAAGTTGTGTAATAAGAGGGGAGTCAACAGCAATATAGCGGTAAGTTTATCTCCGTGTCGCTGGCAGTTTTGGAGCAATTTTTACAGCTGCCGCTTTACGCCAAACGAGTGTTGCCATTACTTTTGTTCTCACAGACATCAAGAGGTACGCCATGCAAATAGCTAATTCTAGGTACCGTTTTACGATTTCTTGACACTGAATGTTGATTTATCCAAAGTACTGAACCGCTACGCGCGATGTAATTGGTCTTTATCCATTATCTATTAGAGTACAGACGCAAGGATGACCTCACGGAAAACTTGGCGCGCGGTGTTGAAAATATTGCTACATTATTTCGTATTTAGCAAGTGGAAAGCTCATAAACACAAAAATAGTTCTTGGCGACTGCAAATGCTTAAACTGGAAGAAATTTCGCATTAGTTGCCATCTTGTGTCATCGCTACAAGATGCTCGCAGTTTGGAAAATATCAATTGCGCGATTATTCTGCTTTGAGCTGTAAGCTTTATCCATTGAAGGCCGTGAAAATCGTTTGGGAAAACTGTCTACAAGTAAGATAGAGACGAAAAGAAGAGGCAAATAAGAAACGTATCGCTTGTGAATAGAATAATGACTAAACTGGCACAAATCCTCGAACAGTCAAGCGGTACAAGGCAAGTTTGTATGAAACGAATAAAAAAAAGAATGCAGTTTATCTGAGTTTGAATGTATTTAGCACGAAAGTGCTAACTGGGGACATAATTTTTACGAAGTACATTATTTTATTTCTTCTTTATTTCAAGACCCTGAGTATGCATTCAAGGGCTAAACCGACTGATCTTATCCTGCCGTGGTTAAGAATGGACTAGATTCTACGCCACGGAATGGATTCTATGTTGCCGTGCGTCTGTTCAGTATAGAGTACAGATGAAGACTTCAAGGTGGTAAGGACATCCGTGACACACTCGCATACCACATTTTGACGTCATCTGTGATCTATTACTGAACAAACGCACGGGAATATATTTGTTAAATCTATCGATCAAAGGGTCGGTAGATCGTCTGTCTGTCTGTCTATCTGTCTGTCTGTCTGTCTATCTATCTATCTATCTATCTATCTATCTATCTATCTATCTATCTATTTGTCTGTCAGTCTGTTTGTCTCTGTCTATTTGTCTTTCTCAAAATGTCACAGGTCCCTAAGAAAAATTTGGCGAAAATACTTCGTACCTTGACAGCCGTAAATTTCCAGTTTGGTGCAGATGTATAGATACCAGTGTGTAGGACGGAGCCTTATAAACCTTGCAGTGATGTTCGTAGGCAGATATTCCATTACCGTGTCCACTTGTGTTTTATAACCACGAAATATCTGCAATTTTGATTGCACCAATAAATGATGAATGTTATACTGTCGTGTGTGTTATGCACCGATCAATTCGAAACTTAAACATTTCTCCTGGGCAACCCCGGGCATGACATGTGAAGTTTTTTTAAAATAGGCGCATTCAGATTCCGATTACTTAAGCGCAATTAAGTCGTCAAATGCCCCTCATGCACAACGAAAAAAAGTTTTGCAGATTGGGAATTCGAAAAATAGACTAACGTAATTTTTCTGACTTAACATGATGGCGATAAGCAATTGCGCAAGAAAAAAATAAACAGTTGATCTTGTTCTAAAACGTTATGCCTTCAAAATACATGTAACTTTTGAACTCTATGCACAACAAGCCATTCAATTAAAAAGGCTCTTTCTTTACCTTTAAACTCATCCATCTCACTATAAGAAAGATTGCATATATCGAACCAGAGTTGTCAGACCCGGTATCAGCCAAAGGAGACTTTACATTTCTGGTTTAAATTCCTCGCCCCACCCAGGCAATAGTCAAATTCTCCACTCCCCTGGCACAAGTGACGGTCAAATGCCCGGTTTTTACTCAGACTGTTTCAACTGAATTGATGGCGCATAAACGCAAAGCGCACTATTCATGAGTAATAATTGGGGAAGCAGTTAGGGAAGTTAACAAACAACAAAGAAGTAGGTCCGTGTTGAGGTGGTTCATTAGAATGGTTGGAGGGAGTCATTACCTAAAGCAACCTCTCGGGAAATTAGGGAATAACTTAAGGCCAAATTATTAGAATTTGGACAAAACGCAAGTGAAACCATTTCTTAATTTTACGAGTATACACCAATTGATTACAAACTAATATCATGGGTGACAAACTGCGCTCACAATGATTCATGGATTTTGTACTTGTTTTTCATCGTTTGTACTGAGGAAATTGAAGTTGGTTACCACATAGCGGTGAATGCAAAGTACAAACTTGCATCAAGAGCGCAACCGCGACGTATGATATAGAGTGTTTTCACTAGACGTCACGGCGACCATGTTGGTGTCCCAAACCAATCCTCTGGGAATTGTACTCTTTTCTTATGTAAACGCTTTCTTTTTTTCCAATAAATTTGTATAGATGCTGGCCACGTGAGTGAAAACACTCTATATGCTTACTTCAACACATGGTAGAACATCTTGCCTTTCGCTGTCCTTCATAAGTGTAGTTCAACCAGTCTGTTCCAGTATCTCCGTATTGGATGTAGTACTCTCTAAGACGAGCATCTCTCTGTCTAACTGTGTTCCCTTGCGTTGCAAACGCAGTAATAGTCTTAACTTCACCAAGATCTACCTGCAACGAACGGAAATCCCCATTTAATAATTAATGGTAAAGGGAGTGAGTGGATTCAAGGTCGGTCTGTAATCATACTTCTAGTGATTTCTCAGCGGTAATATTGGCTATAGCAGTGTCCAAGCGTTGCACTCAAGACTTGTGAGTACGCAAGGCTCGAGTACTGGATTCTTGTTTACCTACCATTCAGCCACTCCAGAAAAATTAATGTTTTCACAGATTACTTCTTCACTGCACTTGTTGACTTTGGGGTACCATTTTCGATTAACTTCCTCTCTTCCTTTTAGGCTTTAGGCTTCCGAAAAGCTTTGGAACAAGACGCCATGTCCTCTCGGTTAGTGTCGTTCTTAGACTGGAAAATGTCGAAACACGTGCTAGATTTGATTCAGTTCTGGCATAATAATTTCATACGTAATGCTTTTTTTGCGTATGCTAATTTCCAACGTTCACAAAAGCGTCATTGTTATAAACTCTATATTGAGACAAACTTTTCCAGAAATGTTTTTGAAGTCGTTTAATAAACTCGTGGTTATCTACCCGATAAAACACCGCGTGGGATAGGCTCATGTAGAGAACGCATGATAAAAACAATAATTAATACATGACAAAAATAATAATTTAAAAAGATTACAAACGTACTATTGTACCTAAAAAGAGTGCTGCCGCTGTTAGTTCAAACAATTTTATGGAATATCGTGTATCAAATGTAACAAAAGCAGGGAGAGCAACAATATAATAATATATAGATTTAGCCAGGGTTAAAAACGAAGCTCTTGATAATGTTTATAGTTCGTTCAAACAAAATATAAAACCGTGTAATACTTATCGGCGAAGGCAACGTCAGAGAACGGTAAAAAACAACAATGGGTCTAATTAGCAAACAAGCAACTTTGCACACGCGCAGCACACTTTTTTTGTAAATTTCTTTGCCGTTGTTTTGCACGACTACAACATGAAACTTCCGAAACTTCTAGTTACACTGACTTTTAATAGAGGAAATGTCGTACATGTTTTCGTTCTTTTTTTTTCACTGCCGCTCATTTTCACCTTGCATTTGATTGGTGACCGCTAGCATTTCTCGTTTTGTCACCGCCGCTACAAAATTTTCATGTTGTTCTTCCAACCAAAAAATGCCTCCCTTTTATTATATCTCTCGCTCTAGGTCTCTGTCGCTCTTTTTCTCTCCACGAAGAAAAGGATCTTACCTCGCCTCCACATTGCACTGCGCTGAATTAGTGTCACACAACTATGCGACGCAAATAATCGTTTAAAAGCAACTGAAAAAAGGAACGCGCAATGTAACGTTTAAATATAATTCAAAACAAAGACGTAACGTTTAAAACATTACATGTGCTCCCTCCTCCTCAGAGACATAAAGGCAACAGAAAAAATGCATGCGCAATGCAACGCTCCAAAAAATTGGAAACAATAACCTAACGTTACATGCTCGCGCTGACCTTGAGAAGTTCAAATAAAATTTTAAAAAATATACAGTAAAAAGTGAACATCCAGTCCGACTGGGTCTAGTGTCCCCTGTGTCTGAATATTATTCTGCATTTGAATATCATTCAGTATTTGATGAACTACACCACATTTCGCTGACACGAGGAACGGTACGAAATATGCTGGGTATGATGATATTGCGAAGTCAAGGCATTGTGTGCAAGGAATTGTGGTAAAAAAGTGCATTGTGGGTAGACATCGAAAAGTTTTGTCTCTTTACGGATTAGGTCTGCTGCTACCTTGCTCGCTAGCGCGGCAGAAATAACACAATAATAACAATCAATATATCCGGGATTGTACAACGTATATAGAAGAAGTACTACTTAAAAGATATACCCTCCCGAATCCCACTTACTTGATTAAAAAAAATGGAAAACTCACTGGTTGAATAGTATCGATTAAGAACATAAGATACACTAAAAACCCTAAAATATACAATGATATAACTGGCCTTTAAAGCACTGATTAACAAAGTACTAATTAACACAGGGAAGTAAATAAGGAGGAAAATGTGGCATTTACCATCTTTGCCCCTGATTGCACTTTTGTGCATCGTATTTGTCCTGAGCAAAATTGGCGCGTACAAATCCATTATTTTTTTTTGTCCATTGAAAAGATAAAGCAGTTCCTTAAGGCTATGTTCCCACTGTATCGGAGAGCCTTTCCTGCTGACACGAAAAGTAGCTATCCGGTATAGTATATGACCCGTTAGCCTGCGAAAACATCCGTTTCTCCTCGCTCTTCGCCGCTGGGGACGTTTCGCGCGGAGGAACGGCTGCGACTCAGCGACAGAAATTCCGTACTGATGACGTAAAATCTGTCCGGGATCCGGTCAGAAACGCTGATTGGTCGACGGAGTAGTTACATTGTTTTAGCTATTGTTGACGAATGACAGACAAAAGACAAAAGGCCACAAAGGTCAAATGTAAACGCGAAGAATCTAGAGCAAAACAGTCAATATTTGTGGAATATACTCTTCTCTAGATAAAGCGTTTGGGTTTTGCTGGAGCTCGTTGGCAGATGAACACAAAACTTAACCAAAATCGACCAGAAGACACGTAAAATTGGACAAATTTGTATTTGGAACCCCATGACTATCGGATTTATTATGTAAACATTGATTTGCGTCATCAGTATGGAATTTCTGTCGCTGAGTCGCAGACGTTCCTCCTAGCGAAACGTCCCCATCGGTGAAGAGCGAGGAGAAACGGATGTTTTCGCAGGCTAATGACCAGTACATGAAGACCTATCCGATATGTGACTCTACCCTACTCTACTCCGCGGGTGCAGTGTAGCTTCGCTCCGTTACAGAAATCGCGCCGAAATCACCGTGAACAGAAGCCCCATCAGGTATTTTTTTCCTGCTGGTGCAATATACTATCCAGTGTAGTGTGAACATAACCTATGATACGCAAAATTACCTGTAGATAACTGGTAAGGTCCCTTTTATATGCACACCACATTTCTTTCCTGTAATACCCCAGCCGCGCCCGGTATCCATTATGTTTACTAAAATGGGATGAACTAGTCACGGACGAACGAGGAATTTGGAAGTTCTCCATTCCGAGAGGATTCAAGCAAGCTGCAAAAATAGAAAAGTCATATGGAAATCCAGTCTAATACAACGTATACAAGAAAAGATGTTGCAGCTAAATACTAATTGGGATAAGAGCAAAAGAGGTACTTTCTAAGGTAGTGCAATCGCTTTTCGAATTCAAAAGCAAACTTGTCTCTTTGCCTTCTGCTGGATCGCTCTAATTCTTTAATTTTTATGTGTAAATATTATATTTCAAACCTTATATTGATTATTTTCCAAAAACTCCCACCAATATAAAATTAGTTGTATTGTGTAAATTGTTACGTAATTAATTATTCTCTAAAAGTTAGTACCATTTTGTATTTTGATAGTGAACATATTGCTTTCATTATTGTAATCTTTGCTTGTCTTCGCCCACCTGGAAATCAGCTTTTGTTGTGTGTGGCTAGCGTAGTTAGTAATAGATACATTTGTTGTTGTTGTTGTTGTTGTTATCAAGTCAATTTAGCAACAAGAGGAAGAGAGGAACACCAACAAGGCGTCTCCATACTTTGTTAAGTCTGACTTTGGTCAAAGCATTTCTCACAGTATCTCGATAAGAAAAATCGCACAGACCTGGAGCTTGGCGAGGTAGCCTGCACCACCGAGGAAACTAAACTCTGGTTAAGTCCGTCTGCGAAACAGCGCCGAAATCCTTCTTCTGGGTCCCCACCTGTGTACCAGGATTTGAATACGCGCCACGATTGGCCTGCTAAAAAATTCATTGTCGATTTGCCAATCAGAATAATAGGAAATTCGAAACGCATTTCTGGTAATGCGTCGAGTCCGTTTGGGGCCCAAAACAAGGTAAAGATCTCGCTGCTGCTTCGCAGACGTTACTAACCGGGGTTAAATTACGTCTGCGACGCAGGCTGTGGAGGAGGCTGTTTGTTTGCGTACTTATTTTCTTTCTTTTTTCCATATTCTAAACTTTATCTTTTGGTTAGATTCCTTCTTATTTTTCATGGCGTGACAGTGAAAAACCAGCAACTGATACACATGGAAGTGCAAAGCTAGAGAATTGATACATCCTACGTGTTACCTTGGCAACCATATAGCTCCATTCTGAGGCAGATGTGCTTGTGCCATTCCTTAATAATCAGGCGCACAAACCGTGCCTGTATCTGGTTAACAAGTCTGTGTCTTTTATTACCCATAAAAACCTAGCAAAATCAATGAGTACAAAAATCAGTAACAAATTAACCATAAGGTGCAAATTAATGCCACTCCGCCAGTATTTTAATTAGGTGAGGGAAGTAATTAACTGTGACGCTAAAATTCACAGTTTGTCTTGTTAACATTTAGCCAGGCCCAAGTTGTCAAAAGCCGTTGCTACATTGTTTCCCATTTTTACGACATTGTTCCAACATTACATTATTGCCTTAATTTGTGTTGCAAATCGTCTCGTATATCCTTGCCTCTAATCGTGGGTTAACGGTAATTAGATGTGAGTTGCCACATTAACTAGTGCCCTTCGAACAACTCGGCTAACATATCCCAGGAGCGATTATACGTTCAAACCCACACTTTATGCATTAGGATTTAACGCTTTTCCGTCAAAAAGGAAAGTTCAAATGCTACTGACTAATGACCTTGACAGTGTTGCCTTCCGAGTAGTCTGACCAGCTTAATCCATCTTGGCTGTAAGCAACTACGAACTTAGTCACCCAGGCAACTCCTACGCCATCCTTAGGCGAAGTTTTCAGCTTTTCCTGAATTGCAACGCGTGAAATGACGTGAGCGCGAACAAGGTCTACTTGTATGTACTCATCCACGTTGTTTTCACGCGCGCACCATGCGCCGTTTCCTTGATGGCGATTGTAGCGAGAGTTCCCTGGTTCAAAACCTGTTCCAAGATTGCTGGAAGCTGTTATAGACGATTCGGTGATTTTTGAAGTTTCTATCCCCAAGTCGCTATCACAAACTACACAAAAACAAAAAGTAACTGATAATACAATAAAACTAATGCTCGATGAAGCTCTTTACTTGCTTCTAATTTGAGCCGTTTCCTTAAGTAAAATACAACAATTCTATAATGGTAACTGCAAAAAAAATCAAGTTCTTCTAACGCGGGTATTTGATGTTTTGAGTTGTCCAGACTACTATAGCTTATTAGCCCTTGAGATGTTCCAAACGAAATTTTTTCCCCTCTTCAACTCTTTTTTTAAAGCGAATATTTTATATTATATTTCATCATTTATTTGGCCTTTTAGCTTTATTTTCTATAAAAATGTTCGTCCTTCCTGCTCAAACTTCAAGTCACAATCGATGTAACGCTGCTGTTTGTGTTTTCAACAAATTAAGAGAGATTTATTAAGAATCTCTTTTGTACCAAGTGACAGAGTTTTCCCTTTTCCTCTCGTTTACTGTTCACACATCTTGGGGTAGTTCTTCGACAGTTTAATCTATAAGAATTATTAGTTTGCACAGTTTTTGATCTCCTCATTTTCTATTCTCAAAAATTGTCGAGTTCAATTTGACGTTTGCAGTTTGCCATAACCACGATTCTAAATCTCTCCATTATTTCAATCACCAAAATCACCAAAAAATGTACCCGATTTAATTAAACCCATTAGGGTTACTAGGCACCTGTTTATGCTTCGTTGTAATTTTTAAAGCTCACAGAACATATAAAAACTTAAACTAATTCTTTCCTAGTCCCTGTACGGCGTTTTCCCAGGCCTTCTCGGTCAATTTCCTTCGGTGACGTATCCGAGGCGAACGGGCGGGAAACGCCTAGACAAAAACAGAATGCACATGCGTGCGTTGCTTTTGAAATTGATGGACTTTCTGGAGCTCTTCAAGATGTTGTGAACGGCAGGAAATTATGTTTTTGAAACCCCTGTGGATATTTGCGAAACAGAAGATCGACTTTTGAGGAACATTTTTGAAAGGCACCAGAATGTCATTCATAATCCTGTGAAGATTGATTTCTGCTCTTTCAATCTTGTCATTCTAATTGAACCATCGGAGTTTTTAGCTCTTAACCCATTTAAACGACCGCGCGAAGTTTCAAAGTAAAAACGATACTTTAGTGACCCTCTGTGAAGTAAACTTAGAGTGCACGTCTTGAATAATCAGAAAAACATACTTTCAAATAAAATTCCTTAGCTGCCTATCGAAAAGTGCCCAAAAACTTAACAAAAAAGTAAAAATTCCATAAAACTTGCCTAAATCTTCGCAGAAGTAATAAGCATTTAAAAATTCAACTTGGATGCTGTAGTCTCGAGCTCAGGATCGTGTTTTGAGCTTATGTTATCATTGAAAGAACACACAGCCACAGACAGAGAAATTATTTCTCGAGAAAATTTAAATAAATACCCATAAATTAATCCTTAAAGCAATTCGCGTTACACTAACTGGCTCAGGGATCCATTCACGCAAGCAAAATCGGCTGAGCACAATGATGGCAAAATTCAATATAAATCTCAAGTCGGGGAACTCAAGCCGATCTCAAAATGTATAAAACGTCCATGAAATATTTATAAAAACATAAATTTCCTTAATTTTAAATTAAAAACGTAATTTTCTTGACTGTAGAGTGCAAAATGTACCTGTGATTCTTCAAAAACTTCGCTGCCTGGTTGCGTTACAAAACAGTCTAAGCGCTCCACCGCGTGAAGAAAACTTCGAATACCTCGAAGGACAATTTTGTAAAGAAAAGCCTTCCTTTGTCTAATAAAAGAAAACTAAGCATTCTTATGAACTGTCCTTTCCCATCTGTGTCTATTAGCGATGCATTTTGAACGTTGAAACGAGACACTTTGGTCTTGTAAGCAACCGCTATAATGTCTCTCTTTTGTCCCACTTCTTCTTTCGGACCACGTGACCCGAAACCAACTGGCCGCGCGGAATAATGAGGCCTAGGGACTAGGCAAAACTAATTCTAGATATGCTAAACAACGGATACTGCCAGTAACTGCACCAGAGTACAGCCCTATTTAAAGAGAAAATATCGTACATAAGGTACTTTAACACGTACCGTTAAATCCGAGTACTCTAACTCTGAGACAGATTCCATTGTGCCAGGTTTTTGCCACGATCCTCAAATAGCGTGCTTTAATTTCGTGTAAGAACTTAATTACTGTTACACTCTTGCTATCCTTATTCGCTTCCAGTTCAATGTGCTCGGATTCCGAATCAAAAGCGTGGGTGTATCGAAACCACACTGAACCGTCAACGCTGTAGTCCAGCCTGTACTTTGTTACGTATTCGTCTCTGCTATGGTGTCCTTGTGAAGCAATTCCGGTGAGCATCATGGTCATTCCAAAGTCAAGCTGCAGGTATTCATTCACCTGTATTTGACCTGCGCACCATGAACCCTCGTCACTTAACAGCATTGCCTTTTCCGGTTCGTGGGAAGGCTTACTACTCGACGCAGATGAAGAAGAAACTGGTATAATTTCATTTCCGAAACCGTGCAACTCTGAGGACACTGCGAAAGGAAAAAAACAGTTTGTAATTCTATGAGCTTCTCAAAATATTCATCATTGAGGAAATATTGGTATGTTCCCCCAAATTCCTAATGATTTTAACTTTCAGATCTCTGGAAATATTATTATTAATCAATAAATTTATTCAGTTATTTATTTATCAATTTATTTATATAATACGACCAGTATTTTATTACCTTCACAACCATAAAGCTCCAATCTGATACTTGGACGACCAACCCAGTCTTTTACTATCACCCGGATGTATCTGGCAGTTATATTATGCTCAAGTCTGTGCTTATATGGGGACGCAAAACTTTCCGAAGGGGTATGGAATGTCTGGAAGTTAAGATAACAAAAATAATAATTAACAATAATTGGATGAGGCTGAGTATCATCTGAAGAATTATGGAGATCGAGGAGGAGGGCCCTTCGAGATCTCCATAATTGTTCAGATTATACGAAAGCCGAATTCATTAATTGTTTTATTATTCATTCAAAATAATTCCTAGTTTAAAAACAAGCCAAAGCATGCTCACCTTCATCGATGTTGAGTTAATCTTTAATTGCATGTTTATCAGCAAGTTTAGGAAATAAAGGGTTTTTCAGTCCTGCAAATATTCTCCTAATAGCGGATGTCGTCCGTCGAGTTTTATTCTTGCTTTTCTTGCTATGTTTTTAGCCAATAGTTCGCCCACTTCTTCCTCGTGAAACAAGTGAAATTTTCCGCCATTTTGTACTCACTACCAAAACAACACAACCTCGTCCCCAGGTCTTCTCGGTTAACTGTACAGGTTTCTGCACAACTGACGTCTTTTTTCACATGTCGCAAAAATCTTCCAAATTTAGTCAGGAGTAGCTGGTTATGATGAATTATGCAGAAGGTAGCGTGGCCGAGTGGTCAGCGCGTTGGATTCGCAATTCGGCGGTCCCGGGTTCGAGTCTCGCTCTGGCCACTTGTTGGATTTGTTCCTCGGCCACGCTTGTAAATAGCCAACTGCATGGTTGCCTCCTGCCTGTTGGGGTTTTGAATTCTGTTATGTTGCATTTGAATTATTTGTTTCCAAGTATTTGAGTGGAGTGCCTGCAAACTAACTGGATAAGCTAAGTGCACTTTCCACGGCAAACAAGTCTTTAAACCTTTTTTTTTCTATTCGTGGGATTTTAGCCAATCAGAAAAGGAGAAGTATTTTGAATGAATAATTATCATTATTTTTCATTTAAGTATTAACCCTTTCTGATCGGCTCAAAGCCCCCGTTTAATTCTTCATAACTAACTGGCGTTGACCAAATTTGGAAGATGTGAGCAATATACTATCGATTCAATGACTTCTTGGAAACGAGGTTGATCGGTGGTCGTGGTAGGAAAATGACGCCATCCTACAAATAGCCTATTCTTGGTTTGCAAACAGGTGACAAGACGGCCAATCCTGGCTGACAAAACGAACAATTTTCTTCACAGAATTTATATATGAAGAATAGTTTAATTCCCAGTGGAACAAAACGCTCTTGTTTTGTCCACATACACGTAGCTTTGTTTGCACCCCAAAATTTTTGTCCGTTAATTGTTTTCAATTTCTCTTAGGACGATAGGAATACACAGGAGAAATTGGAAGCAATGGGCCGGTACGCAAACTTGATAGACTGACGCAGTGTATCAGGGCAGTGCGAAAATAGCGAACTGAATCGAAAAGAATAGACTAAAATGGAATGGAACGAACTGGAATAGAGGGGACTGGCACTGAAAAAATAGTGACATTATTTACACATGGCATTTAAAATTGTCACTAATACACTTGAGGCCCTTCCATTTATATAATAAATTAGTAATAATGATGATGATAATAATAATAATTACAATAACAATAATAACGAAAATAACAATAATTTTTATCAACCTTAAATATTTAGAATTAAAAACTTCTAATCGTAACGTATTTAAAAAAGAAATCTCTCCTTATGCTAGTTGAACGTTTACAACAGATAAAGAGGTAGGCTAGACCTGCAAATGACGCACTCCTCAATATAAACTGTTGTAATTTTTCATTCCACGCCAAGTCTTTCAAAAAGTGTAAAAGGTTAGAGTGTATGTGGCTAGCCGTATACATACGTATTCTAGCCTTACCTTCAAAACACCGTTTTCCATGTAGGGAAAGAATTCATTACCATCCCTGCTGTAATTAACAACAAACTTAGAAATCCAATTATTGATACTTTCATCTCCCTCGATTACTAAGGCAGACAAGGTTTTCCCGCCAGTGCCAAGATCCACCTGAACGAACTCATTTTCTCGTTCGGCCAAAAGTAAAGGTTTTGTCCCACGTAAACGCAACTCCTCAGCATAATTTTGTATACCAGGCGCAAGAAGAGCATAATTTGGAATGTCGAAGGTTTCCATTCCCAAAGGGTTCCCACATGCTGAAAACGAAATGAATATTTCAATGGAATCAGTTAGACTCATCAAGATTATCTTTTCCACTGGCAATTACTTCATTTACCACAAATTACTCACTCTGTCTCCACTCTGTCTCTATATTTACAAATTACAGACCAATTTGCAAAACGCTATCGTGATTGTGGCACAGGGCGTGCCACTGGAAAGCTGCAATACGAAATTTGAAGGCACCACTGCTTGCTGCTTCCCAACTAGTCTTTATATATTTTTTTTTTCAAATTAAGAGGAGAGGTAAATAGCACCGGGGTGAAAATGCCCCTTAATTTGTATTCGATCAGCAGTGTAGTTCTTTTTATGTCCCCTTCCAGCAGTTGCAATCGTTGTCGTCCTCGTCGTCATTAGTAGTAGTTGCAGGGTCGCATTGATTGATGCGAGTGGATCGCAGAAATTTCTTCTCTTCCGCTCAATCTTTTCCGCACAACTCTTTTCGGCCGCTTTTTCTTTGATCCCACACTGTACAGGGTCATCGCAACTTGATCTTTAAAGCAAAGGACGGGTCTTTCGTGACATCTCTTCCAGGAAGACAAACATTCAATGAGAGATTAGAAGAGGTGACATTCTTTTTAGCCCATTAGCTCCTCGATGACGCAATAGTCTCAACTACGGCAAAATTTTAAACACAACGACTACTAGGATCATGCCAGCGTTCTACAGAATCTATTAAAATGGTCAGATATGCACCCGAGCCTCCCCAGCTCACCATATCCGTGATCTACCATCAGAAGAACCAGTTGGTGCTTAATAAAGCTAAGCCATGAGAAAGCTGATGAGAAAAAGTTACACTTGATGATATGTGCCTACTTTACGTTGATACCCCTCACTAAGTACACATGCTTTGTGCAACAATACAGAGCAGAGCATATGAATAAAAGGCACACATACCTTCACACCCGTAGAGTTCTATGCGTAAACATATGCGATTATACCAGCTTTGGGGAATAATTTTGATATGGCGGGCTATAATCACTACCTCCAAAGAAAGGACATTAGCCGCGTGAGAATTTGTGTTGCCTGGAAATACCTGCAAACAGAATTGTACAAAATGAAGAAATGCAAACAGTATGGACATAACTGGCGTAGTGTATTTATCTTTATTTCAAAAACTCATTGTGATAAGTGATGAAAAGAGCAGAAGCGTGATTAGCCTGATCAAATACCGCCACTTTTATCAAAGTACTGTATGTTCAAAAAATGTATTGACTATAAAGCCGTTTTCGGGTTGGTTTTACTCCAGCTCGTGCTTTGACGTATACGTATTCATAATTCTCGAACAAACCTTCGGACCTTCCGTGCCGTTATGACTTGTCCATGAAAATCCATCTACACTGTGAGAAAGCGTAAAACTCTTGACCCAGGCCGCTTCAAGAGTCGGATGTCTACTCACTCCCTCTTTTCCTTGAATAGCAAGGCCTTGTATCTTGGCTAAGTAACCCAGATCTACCTGAAGATACTGTGTGTTATCATTACTTTTCGCACACCACGCACCGCCTCCCACTCTGCCGCCAAGTCTGCCCATCCACGGAGCGTAGTTGGTACCGAGTGAGCTTGATGCTGACATAGCTTCGTTTGGTATCATCCACTCTGCTAGTCCCAAGGGCCACGTGCAATCTAAACAGTGAATTGCAACAATATAACCAGGGTTCTGTCTTCCTAAGCGTCTAACACTAACTGCAAGAAAATATCTTACATAAAGCAATAAATGTTATACTCGCCTTTATATCCATATAACTCAACAGACATGCAAGGAAAAGTGATCCATTGTAGAGGATAGAGCCTAAATATCCTGGCTTTTATTTTGAAACGAAGCTCAAAAGTGAAGGCCTTAGTGTAATCTTCTCCTACCATAAACTCCTAAATTATTTTTTTAAAAGGAAAGAAAGGAAAAGCATTCAGAAGGGTTACACCCTAAAGAAACTTGGTCACTCGCATCTTTGAAAGATGCATTAAGACAAATTTTCCCAGGGTTCTAATTTCTTAAGAGAAATTTTGTTCTTAATGTTATGGTGGTTAAAAAGATGTCCAAATAAAAGTCTCAAAAGCCCACGCAAATGCTAAGACGACGACGCTCTACTCACTTTTGGCCCTTGCCATAAAGTAATGTCTTATCTGTCAGTATGAAAATGAGGCGCCAGTTCATGCAAAATATTTGGTTTTATGTCTTCCATCTTACTAGCACCTTGTTTTAATTGGAATGGCTCGTAGACAAATGAACTAAAGTCATATCAAAGACTTAACAATCAGTCCATTCTTTACTATTTTATTTATTATTTAGTAACATTAATTAGCCCACTTTTATCACATAATACTTGAGATACATTTGTTTCAACATATACTTAAAAGTAGCTAAGGACAACTTCGTACTGATACGGGGTTTTTATGAGGAACATTAGGAGTGCACAGTCGTTCCATTTCCAGGGAAAGTTTGAAATCAAATTAAAAGGGTAGATGTTTGGGTATTATTTAATCATTTATTCAGTCATTTTATAGTTATTCAATATGTTAGTATTTAGACGTTTTTAAGGCGAGAAAATAACACAATGGTTATATTATAATCAATTATTACCTTTTCCTGCGAACCCTCCTTGTACATTCGCCAAAAGCCCCCTTCTTCACTTGAGGACAACGTAAACGTCGTCACCATACCCTGACCACTTTTTCCCACCACGGCTAATTTTGAAACAACCACAATCTGACCCAGGTCTATTTGCAGGAAAGGCTTCATGTCTGAAGGCGCGGCACACCAGGCCTTGGCACCAGGTCCGACAGTCAGTCGTGCCATCCATGGCTCGTTTCCAGTGCCCAAAAAACTTGTTGAAGTCAGATTGACATTTGGGTTCAACCCGAAAGAAATCATCGGGGTTGTACGAGCTTAAGGAAATTAACAAAAAGTTGTTAAATAAAACTTGCTCCTAGTTAAGGGAAATACATTTTTCATTCTTTGTGTTTGACTTACGAACCTTGGAAAGGATGGGAATATGATATAGTTGACCAGTCAGCGTTCTTTTTCTCAAACGGTTTGCACTGGATATTGCCAGTGGGCATCGACGTCTATCAAGTCAAAGGTATTGGCCTTTATTAAACACATCTATAGCTTAATGTATATACCCAGAAAACTCTGCAAAGGCTTTACTTACTCTCGAATCCGTATACTTCCATCCTTACGCAGACCTTATCCACCCATTTGTTCATCATCAAGCGTAGATGTCTAGCAAGGATTTGATATTGTAGAATATTCAGCTTGGTCTCACTTGGCGAAGTGTTTCCTTGCAACTCCTGCAAAAATCAAAAGGGAAAACAATACAAATACGTATCTTGCTTTTGACTTGTTTTGAAAACATGCCATCTATAACAAGTAAGGGACCTGCTGCAGGACACACTCGTGAATACTTAACCCTATTCAGACTGGGGGGGGGGGCTTTTCGAACCCCCCCTCCGGCAAAATCGTGATAACTCCAACACCGAAAGAGCTATGACGTTCAAATTTTCTGACTTTTCCTAAAATTTATCTAGGAACATTTTGGTATAATTACCATGTCCATGTGATTAATCGTGTTGCCATAGCAACCAGTTTCTGACACATAGGTTTTGGAAAATTTAACAAATGGTAATTTTTTTATTTTAAGATCGCGTTTTTACACTTATAGTGCTTTTTGTTGTTAAAATGGTCTTTGCTTGGGACTAGTTTTGGAATTACATCAACATGTTGCAACATCGAATATTTGGGGGGGAGGGGTGGGGTAAAATTTGTCACTTTTTTGCTTTGACAAATATGCTGCTCTATTTTCCAAATAACACTTCCAAAGTCATTTGTTTGGGTAATAAACATTAGTTTGATACTTCTTTTATACATTCTGAGCTTTTTCCCCTTTGAATGTTGCTTTAAATTATAATTTTAACAGAAAAACGGAAATCCAAGATGGTGGATCAAAGATGGCGGATCCAAGATGGCGGACAACCATTTCAAATTTTAAATTTTATTGCTTCCTATCGCTTTTTCTCGCTGTACAAGTGTTTCCTTGTTACTAGTTCATAAGAAAGGATAACAAAGAGATGACTTTACCAATATTATTGATATTTTACGTCTCTAAGTGGAAAAATAATAAGAAACATTGAAAAATCGGAATATGATGTCACTGTGACGTCATCATTGGGCGTGGCAAGTCAAAACTGGGTGTGGGGCTTCTTTGTACGGAGATGATCATTGTGTGTAAATTTCATGACCCTAGCATTATTGGTTCCAGAGATACAGAGGGGGGGTCCGAGGAGCCCCCCTCCAGTCACAGATTGACCAAAAAAGCCCAGTCTGAATAGGGTTAAAGAGGTTAAGTCTTTCATTCGCAATCTGCCCACCAGATTAATTACAATAAAAACCCACGTGTAAAAACGTATGGTTTGGTAAGTAAACCTGCAAGCAGAGAGTTGTCTTTTGGTAACCAAAAATATAAGAGTCTGTTTAGCTAAGCAAGATCAAGCTGGTTCTTATATGTTGGGTACAGGTAGTAATTGTTATATACATTTTACCCAAGGAGTTTGACTTTAATACTGCAAATTCATATTACAAGAAAGTACAGTTGACTCCCGATAACTCGAACCTTCAAGGGAAATCGAAAAAGGTTCGAGTTATCGGGAGTTCGAGTTATCGGGAGCTCGAAGAAAATAGCCGGGAGTAAGGAAAAAACAGTTTTTACTGCACAGTGAGCATTTTAATCACATTTAATTGTAGAAATGTTGAGTGAAAATTGGAAGATACTTTTAGATTATAACTCAGAACGTAAAGTGACAAAACTTTGCCTAAATAGAGCATGCATTTTACTTTTTGAGAAGTAAAGCTATTTCACGTTAGATTTGTGACAAACAACATCAGCCTCCACTATCAATCCACTTGTAAACTATATGCCTACAACACGTCAATGGGAAATTCAAAAGTCAATGTTTCGGAGGCAGTACACTGTTTTTTCCCAACTTTTTAAGGGCTCAAAACATAGTTCGAGTTATCGAGGGTAAAATTATATAGAAATGATCTGAGGGGAAACAAAAATTACTTCGAGTTAGCGGGAGTTTCGAGTTATCGAGGGTTCGAGTTACCAAGGGTAAAATTACAGTAAATGTATGACGGAAATCCAGGGGAAATCGATTTTGGTTCGGGTTAGCGCGAGGTTCGAGTTAGCGAGGGTTCGAGTTATCGGGAGTCAACTGTACTTTTAAAAATTGATATTAAATTTATTCATTTATTCATTCATTCATTTTTCTTTTAACAAAAAGCTTTTGTTAAAGAGATAACAGTATACATTTTGTAATCAGTTGGGTAGGCTGGTCATAATACAGTTTTGAATAAATACAGTATATTTAAGGAGCAAACCCTAGTTTTCTGGTGGTCAACAGAAGCATCTCAATCATAGAAATTAAGAATCAACTTAGCCTAAATTGCCAATTACTGCCTCAAAGTACAAGATTTTTTTGGCCAGATTATCAAAAAAATGTAGGTTCTTACACGCCGGCTTTTACTACATTGACGTAAGGAGTAGGGCACGCCCAGCTCTTACATTTTGCCTAATGATACAAATTGTCAAATCCCCTAACGAAGGGTAAGTGTTACTAAATAAACCTAAGAAAAAACATTGAAACCCTGGAAACCCTAGTTGAAAATTAACATAAATAAGAACAAAATGCTAAAATGGAATAAATAAAAATACAGATGCGGCAGACCCTTTGCTTCAGTCTGTGAAGAGTTCCAATCAGTGTCCACGCGCAAGACCGATTCGCATCAAAGGTACTTATCACATAGTAGAGCACAGATTTGCAAAAGAAGGCCCATTAAACGAAAATAACAGGAGACGGAAGAGAAAAATTAACAAATACGACGAAATGCTAGGAGAAGAACTACGTTTTTGGCTAACATTTGGGCGAGATGGATTACGAATGTTAAATATATACGACCCAGACCGAGAACATGATGGCAAGGGCAATCAAATTCTGGTCCATTAGATCAAAAGTCAAATAAAGTACCGTGCCCACCCCGTGACATTTAAGGTATAATAAAATAACAATACTGTACAGCTGAAACTGACGATTGGTAATCTGGTGCAAAGCGTCAGCCTATTTCAGTTGTTCTTAAAAGAGCTGTGTCACGTTGATATTGCTGTTTTTGGTCAATTCTGTGCTGAAGTCATTACTTAGTGTCAGCACCCAAACACAAAATGCTCCTGTAGAGTTATGAAGATATAAAACAAATTTCATCAGGGGCCTACAATTTTTTGACACCGTTTCTGAGAGGGAAGGTACCAACACGATACCGTTTTCTTTTTCAAATTTAACCACTCCAAAGATCGTTCACGATGACTTTCTCTATTCACGTTTTTCACACGTGGACTTAAGCCTTAAAGACATAAGTCTGTAGGCGTTTAAAAGCATTTAGCAGTTTCTTGTAAACATGGGTAGTTTGGCATACATACGTACATATGCCTACTGAATATTAAGTTCAAATATTTTTAAATTTTTAATTACCTTAATTACGCCACCCTCTTTGTAGTAAAACCATTCACCTTCACGCCTGCTAAATATCAGAAGGTAAGCTTGAACGAAAGCCCATGAAGAGTAATGTCCTTGTGTGGCAATTGCGGTAACTGTCTTTGATCCACATCCCAAGTCGATCTGAAGAAACATTTCTGATCGTCCTGAGATTAAAAGACAGTGCAATCACAAAGTCACTCCAATAAAGAGATCAAAGAATTAAAATTGTTTTGATCCCCAGAAGAGATCACTAAGTGCCTCCCCTCACCAAAAAAGTTGAAAAACTTCAAAACCATTCAAGCTAAACTGTCGAAGGTAGCGACATTTTAAAGTCTCCGTGATGTGTACTTTAACATTGACGTTACCATGGCAACTGAGAATTTGACTATTTGAATATTCAACTGAATATTTTGAAAACTTGAATTAACCACCTGCCGATTTCTCGAGCCAATTTTCATTTTCCTTTGAGGTACAAATACAGTGCCGATTTATTTCGGGGAAAATATTTTAAACACTCTGAAATGGGATCATTTAATACTTTATGAAGCAATGCTCGATGTTTGAGTTATTCCAGGGGTCAATTTATTAAAACTTGTACCAGTACATTTTACAAGTGTAGCTATTGTTTTCAGACTCAAAAAAGGTACAATTGTAAATTACACTTGTAAAAGTTTTATTTAACTGACCCCAGGTCTCTCTATAATATTTCGATTTAGTATGCAGTGTTTTCAGATGGCGTCACGGTGGACATCTTGGTGTTCCAAACCAATCCTGAGGGAGTTGAACTCTTTTCTAATGTAAACGCTTTCTTTTGTTCCGATAAATTTGCATAGTTGCTGGCCACGAGAGTAACTGTTATAAAAACGCACTATAATTTACCTCTAAAAGAACAGCTTTTTTCAATAAGCACCGGGACTCGCTTTGAAAACGAGTCTTAAGGTAAATTTTAATAAATTTTCCCATTTTTATCGGCTCTTTTGTACAAATGAAGACGTGGCAACTCAAAGCAAAGGAGCTGTAACATTTAGTGCAAATCATAAGTCATTATGGATAGCCCGTTTCCTTCCCTCATTTACTCTAAAGAGAGCCCCTATCAGTTACACTAGCGGCAAGCGCTGAGCACAGATGGACTTACACGAAAAACATAATTGCAATTATGTACACACCTGCACAGTAGGCTGTATTGATAGCGTTTAACCTTGCAGTATTAATTTTTCCACTCCATTTGGATATGACGCTTGTTTCGGGTATGGAGTAGTCTTCCATACCCAGAGGATGAAAAAAGGCTGCAACAAACGACAAAAACGCTATTAATATTTTTTTAAAGTAGACATCATTCACCGTGTGGATAACAAAATACTTATTTGTTATTCTAAGTAATTATAAAATCTGTCAATACCAGTTAAGTTGGTTTTAAATATTAAGGATGCAAAGACCCCAATAGTTGCAATGACAACTTTGAATGGGGAGAAGGAAGGATAACAGATCTTGCTACGGGGATCAATAAAGTAAGATTAAATGCTTTCTTGGTTTTGCTTCTTTATTTGTTTCTTTGTGTTTTGTGTCTTGTTTGCTCGTTGTCGTTTGTCGTTTTCCAATTATAATGTCTTAACAAAGCAAAAATTTGGGACACAACCTTTGCATCCGTAAATCTCCACTCTCATGCAAATTCTGTTGAACCAGTTCACTGGGCAAAAACGCACATAACGAGCGACCACACCATCCTTCAAATAATTAGTGACCACGCTTGAATGGTTCGCGTTTCCTTGGAAAAGCTGTCATCACAAAAAAAAGAGAGATGATTAGGTAATGACAATAAACCCGGCTTGTGTGCATGTTAAGAACGTAAGTTGGAGTAGGTGAATGAATTAGAAAGTGTAAAATATAGCAAATTTTGGACATTTCATCCGGGCAAAATATCGATGTCACTTCAGTAAGATTTTGAAGAAATGTAGTCCACTGGATCTTATGGGCAGGAATGATGCACACGTGTATGTGGGGCAGCGGAAGATACCATCAACTGCACGCACTGCTTTTTCAAAGTTATGCCAAAGTTACAAACAAGTACGAAAATTAAATCATTGTTCCAACAATTTCGGTCCAGTTCTAGACTCCTGTGGTAGCTGCAGGTAACGCACAATCAATTTAGCAACCTACCTTAACTGCTCCCCCTTCGGTATAGTTTTTCCAGTCAGTATCATCTTGTCTGAACCGCAACAGATAGCTTGTCACCCAAGCATCCGAAGAAATACACCCAGGTACTGGAAATTTTCCTTGCGTTGCTACGCGTGCCACGTGATAGGGATGTAGAAGGTCTATTTGTAAGAACTGTTTTTCGTCGTTTTTCTATAAGCAGAGAAGCAACGAGAAGCAACGATTCTTATGTGCAAAGTAAGTACAAACGTATAGTCCATTTATGAGAGCGGGGTTTAGAGACCAGTGAGACGCGACACTTGAACATCGTATGTCATTCATTCTTAGGTTAACTATAAATAAAATAATTATAGGATGCATGTACCTTTACACAGGTTTTCATTTACAACTAAAACGCCACTTTGACCGTCGCAAGCACCGAGAATATCATGTCGGCAGCTCTTATTGTTACGTTTTACAGTGTAAAGAATTCAAATCACTTGTTTTAAACTTCAGTTTGTACAGATGTACACTTCTGGTGGCTATTTAATCTTCGTGAGAGTCATTGACATATATAGGGGATATTACGTAGCTGCTTGAAGATACAAATGCTTTCTCTTCTAGTGTTGAAAAATATTTCACTGGTTCCCTGCGGCCACCAGTGAATTATTTCTCAAAAGTTGAAGAGAAATGTCGTATCTTCGAGTGGTCATGTAATGTCCTACTTGTTTTATAGCTACCAATGAAATACCAAACCATTTCACTTTAATTTTTTCCCTGTGAAAGGTGAAATTTATTGGGTGGCCAAAGCAACGGTGATCTTTTCAAGTGTTACGACAGAAAAATATTTTCTCTTACCCCGGCACACCAAGCTCCCTCACCCAACTGATTGTGTAACCTGGCCAACCAAGGTTCATTATTCACTCGTAGGGCGCTTGAGGCTGTGACGAATTCGTCTGCTATGTAACCATTCTCCATTCCCAGATCATCAGTGCAGTCTTATTCCAGTATAATATCAAAAAAAGAAAAGAAAACAAAAATAAGAACAAGTATACATTGCGAGTTATCATAAAACACAGCGACACAGTGTTTCACACAGGATTCAAATGAAATTCAACATCTTTTGTAATTTACACTAAATTTGCAATCCATTTAAGTTAGTTAGGAGTTTTTTATGAAGGAAAAAAATTCAAACCGTGCTTAATTAAACAGCTTTGAAACATGTTTAAGCTTCGATGTGAATGGGGCTTTAGATTCGCCCGATCGAGAATGTGCATTTGGCTGCCGACAAGCTTTTGTTGTGTTCTTTCAGTGGTAGCCTTTATAAAGTTAACTCTTGGGTTTCGGGCTTGTCATTTTGTTTTTATGTTTGAATACCCAACTGGTCTTAAAAAATTATTTTTTACTTGCAACAGTGTATTTTGCAAATTCGTGATGGAAAGAAGCTTCCATCTTCTGTGATTACTTTTGTAATGGAGGGTCTGTGAAAGTGTGACTAACATCCATCTATAGCACGTAATCTGTGTAGTTCAGGTCTTATAGTTATACTTTTCTATAATATCATGGTAATTTTTCAAAAAAGGAATGACAAGTAATAATACAATAAGGTTACATTACTCACTTGCATGCCATTGCAGACTTTCAGTCTTGGTTCAAGCACATTATAATTTATTGTTCATAGTTTTACTTCGTTTAAAGGAAAGCCCTTCAAAAAATTAACAAAATTGCATGCTCGCCAGATTCAATTTATGGTTCATGTAAAGAGGGGATAGAAATTTCAGCGTCCAACGTCCTTCCAATTCTTGTTACCCTGCATAACAAGCGCTTTATGAGCCAAGCGAGGCGAACGAGGCATGGTGCGCGAAGCGCGAGATCAGGGGCAGAGAAAAATAAAGCGCCTGTTACCAGTCCAATGTTCTGGCTCTTCCGCCCAACTACGCCCACCGACGGCGGTGATGTCAAAAGGACCAATCAAAATACGATCCATTACTCAAACATTGTCATCTTTCTGTCCACCAGAAACAACAACAACAGTACAAAACACAGGAAAAACTGCGAGGGCAAAATCACCTTCAGTAATGTAAGACTCAGTGCGGCGAAAGATTTGCTGAATCCAAGTTCAGTTATGTCCAAATACAGTGGTGAGAAAGAAAAGAGGGAAACGTGTTTTCCAAACAAATTCCAAGGTCACGAGCTTATGAGTCGTGTTTGGCCCTGGCTTGTCAACACTTAATTCAAGAAAGTTAGTAAATCAGGCTTTTTCCTAACATATTTGGAACAAATCCAAGAAAATATTTCCTCTTAGACTCTAAATTTAAACATTTCTTTTGTTTTTCTTTTATTTCCGGAACATTTGGAAATAAAGGAAAGGCTTCTCGAACAGCATCGTCAAAACAACATGATACTTGACGGATATTTTGTTCCAGAGAAACACGCCAGAACAACGCGTCATCAATTAACCAACTGGAACGCAATGTTCATGTAGTGAACGTTGGAAGAGCCAGAACTGGACTGGTAACAGGCGCTTTGTTTTTCTCCTTTCCACGTCTCGCAGGCTGTTATGCAGGCTACATTCTTTTAAAATCTGTGTGTCTAGGTTGACAAAAATCAGTCATAAATAGAACTTTGCAGCCTGGCAGAAAATTAGTGCTCAGATCCAGTTGGTGTTAGGTCATTCAATTATGAGCCGAAAATGTTGCTTCATTCGAGTGTATCTTTTATTTCATTTAAGCGATTTTCGTTCGATCGCAAGTAGTACGTACCCATTAACTTCAGGACCAGCTACATTTCAGATTCCTGCCATTTCAAGTCGGACGGAATGATACCATGTCAGGAAGAAGCGGATTTTATTAGCATAGTAAGTGCTTTGGAAGATGGAATTTTTGGTCCTTCCCTCGTCTTTTGTATGTAATTTATACGGGCTTAAAGAACGGTGGCTAAATTTTACGATTGCCCCTATTTTGGTTTTGATGTAATGGAAATAGAAAACATTTTAAGCATTTCTTCACGCGGACACCTTACACAATTCCATTAAACCGCATGCACAGACAAGGCCGCCAAGAAATTTTGAGCTATTGCCTAAATTGAAAATACAGCATTCTCCAACTAAAAGACTCCAAGAATAGTGACTCTTAAGACTTTTGTCGCCTGTATCCATGTGTGAAGAGTAGCGGTCATTGTTAAAATTTCTTAGTCACCTGATAAAGCTTTCCACATCACAGGACAAAGGTATTGTTACGTTTTTCAGGCAGAAAGTTACATGATTTATTTGAAAACAAACTTTCACACACTCGTTACAGGCTCGATTCAAGCCTCCCATGGAATAATTCCTCACTGGCTATGATGCATGTCCATACCTTCTTTAGCGAAGACCTCTAGCCTTAAACAAGGATAGTTGTGCCAGGTCTTTGGATAGATACGCAGGAAACGAGCGCGAAGGTGGTATTTGATATTTCTTGCGACCACAGAAGTCCCATCTGTGCTCCCATTAAAAATCTAAACAGAAGAAAATTGAATAAGCCATCCAAGGCGTTATAATAAACCATAGCTTTTCACCAGAATTTCAGTGCATCACTAGTAATTTACAAAGATGTAGTAAAGAGCTAGATGCTTCTGTCTTTTTGCATTTAACTAAGCAAAATTGCATTTACTATGAGTGAAATTACCTTCGACTTTCCCTCTTCTTTGTATTCTTCCCAAAATATTCCATCAAGACTGGAGCTTAAGGTAAAACTCCTTATCCACTTGTTCTCAGTTGGATGAGCTTGAACAGCAATTGTACGAACAACTTTGACAACACGAAAATCAAGTTGCAGAAACTGAACCTTATTTGAGTCATTGCTAGGAGCGCACCACGCAGCAGGTACTGTGGACAAGTCGTTTAATCGAAGGTTTCCTTGCCATGGGGTGAGAACGGAACCATTATATGTAGACATGATAGGATAATTAACTTCAGCAGTCGTGTTTGAAACGTCAATAGACCTTTTACAAACTAAAAGATAGAGTTAAAAGTATTTCAGACGCTTTGCAATGCTGTGAAAGTAGCCTCATAAATCTATAATAAATCTATCTAATAACGCTAGAAAACCATGATGCAGGGGCAACCTATTAAGAAAGACGGCTGTCATGATAAATATTATTTTTTCATAGCTTTTTATAGATCAATATTGTCATAGCCTAGAACTGGCGTCCTAAAATACGGACGAAGTTTATTGAATGAATTTTTAAGACAAAGTTGTCGATTTGGGCCCAGTTGTCCAAAAGGTGGATGACGCTATGCACTGGATAAATCTTTGTCTATAGCGGATGGCGCAGTTGGTTTCCCTAATACGTATCGGCTGGATAGTGATTTACCCGGTGGATAGCGCTGTCCAACGTTAGAACACCGGTGCCTGGTCGCTAGAACCAAATCTATATTTGATAAAAATTTACTGAATCGTTACGTAATGATGTTGTAACGTATGTTAATTTTCAGCGGCATTTCATCATTTATCATCTGTTGCTCCAATAACTACTGAAACGAAACAATAGAAATGTGTTGGAGCATTTTTTTGGTGTCTAGGCCGAATATTTCTGGTATTTGGTGTACTGAAAAATACAGGATTCCTGCAATCGTATTTGAATAAAACAACCGACTCCGGCAGTGAACTAACGCTGACCTTCTGATTTACCAATTTTCGTTTTTGTGGGATAATTATATTAACACTTAAGCTCCAGCTGATAATGCACCATCATATAAATAAAAGTGACGACCGACGGTTTTTGAGCCTATCAAATTTTCTTTTCTTTCCCGTTCTTCTAGAAAAAAAGAAAGAAGAAAACCAAAACGCTTGATCGAAAGTTAAGTGTGACAGCCCCCTTTTCAAAAAGGATGATGTTTTCGTAACACTTACCTTTGCATCCGTACACCTCAACTCTCATGTACCGCTTTCTGTGCCACTGTTTGGGCCAAAACCGAATAAAGCGTGCAGTGACGTTCTTCTTCAAATAGTGCTTTGTGACTGTGTTGGCGCTGAAGCTACTCTCGAACATCTACAGTGACAAAAATTATTACATATTTCCTCAATCAATAATTGTGGAATCAATCATTGATTTAGTCCAGACCATACATCGTTAAGGCCTAGGCCAAACGTCGAACTTTTCATGAGACGAACCAAACTCTATTTTGGATCCACCTAAATTAAGTTAAAATTGTCTTTTGGGTCAGACGTCGAACTTAGGAAGCGTCGAACCAATCATCTGAATCAGACCAAAAAGCAGTTCTAATAATGTTCTACCGACCGCGGCTAAATATACATTATCATGCATCGAGATTTTTAATTCATTAGTCGAGTTCGTCGCAATTAAAGACTGATGTTTTTCCCGCAGTCGAACTTCACACTTTGTATGCGTCTTAAGCAGACGGATAGAACGTGTTGGACGATCCAATCTCATTTAGACGAACTTAACTGAGCCAGACGTCGAACTTTTCATGAACTTAACTCACTAAGTTTGGTTTGTCTGCTGAAAAGTTCGACGTTTGGCCTGAAACACTGGACACTTGATGTGCGCTAACGAGACCCAGACATCGTCAGAGATCATGATGTATTCTAAAGGATCTTTTATATTACCCTGACTTCGCCATCTTCTTTGTGTTCCAACCAGTGCAGGCCATCTTTTGAGAACGACAACTGAAATTTAATCACTGCTGTTTCATCACTGCGAAACCCTTGTGTCGCCACCGCAGTGATCACGTGATCTGTGCTACCAACTTCTATCTGAAGGTAAGCGTTCTGATCTGTGAGGGCTGGTATCCACCCAAAAGGATCTTTGAAAAGACGGCTTTTCGAAGAGTGACCACTACCATAGAATGAAGAGGCTAGGATAGATTCGTCTGGGATGTGAATGTCTTCCATTCCAAGAGCGATGGAACAAGCTAAAGGCAATAAAGGCAATACAAATGCATTTCTTAGGACTTGTTCACGGTCATTTTGTTGCTACGCGATTTGTCAGTTTGACTGAACATGGGCGCGATCCATTCAACCAAAATTTCCGGAAATTTCGGTCCAAAACGCAATGGATCGGTTCGGTCCAACCAGAAAAGTTTCGGAAAAACTGGTACACCTTTTGAGGTGGACCACTTATCCCGGTCGGACCGGTCTGAATTTTGGTTGAATGGATCGCGCCCCTTGACAAGCATTACAGGGGAAACGGGACTGAATTATTTGTGGCAGGCCTAAAAGTAAAGACCAAACTTTCTGCAGATACCATGCCAAAAACGGTGTTTTAATTTTCAGTTATTCTCCCAAGATTTTAAGGGCGTCACTTGCCACGAGCATCTACCGCATTATTAGAAAAATTCTCGTCTTGCCGACGTTCTCATCATAAAAAATTCTCGAGTTATCATATATGCCAAATAAATCGTCTTGATGTTTAGTAATTGTGTTACATTATTATACATTACCCTCACTGTCTGGAAAATAATCGCATTACAGAAGAGAGAACTGCAAAACAGTCTATGATGAAATCTTGATCAAACTTTTCTTGTGTGTGCCAGCTGTGTTATATGGAGGTTAATCAATCTCATGTAATCAATCACATGTAAATAGTATATTGATTTAGTTATAGGAAAGCTTTCCAAACTATTACAACTTGGAAAAATGATATGAACTGCTTTCTCCATTTAATTTAATTCTGGGTTGAGTAATAAAAAGCTTCCTTCCTAATTTAATTAGGACCACGAAACAACGATCTTTAAGTTCAGAGCGGTATTCTTGGATCTTTTGCCTAACCTTTCCTAGACTTTTCTTGCACTTGTATTTTTGAACCACCGGTAAAATCTGTGCACTTTCTTTTCGAAGCGAGGGCTTACGACGACAAAGGCGTTAAATCTGACCTTTATCCCAGTTTCCTGTGAGTGTCTGTGTGGTACGGCTCTGGCCGTCTTCAAATAAAAGTGTCCGATCATAGACCATCGACCGATCATGTATAGACCGACCATTTTATCAAATCGTGCTCGATTTAACAAGGAAGGGCGCCAACACTAAGAGTCCACGGTCGCTCTTGATCAGCGGTCAATGCTTTAACTTCAGGTTAAAGGATCAAAGAGAAACCGAGGGTACGATTTTCAATCAATCAGAGAAACGGATACGTTTATAAACAGCAAGTCATAAGACTGCATTTTAAAAGGTATGGAATTTTTCATTGCATCGTACGTTGTTACAACCAGTCAGGTTTATGTGTACAATCAAAACGCGAGTTCAACAGAACACACTGTCAAGACTTTTCTCCTCAGTGCTCCATGTGAAGATGATCAAAAAGGCTTTAAGAGAAATGAAAATCTGTTTGCTATACAAATACCAAAGATTGAACAAAAGGTGTGGCCGTCTTTAATCAGTTTCGTACCTCTGCATCCGTATACCTCCACTCTCATACAAGTCCAGCCAAACCACGTCACTGGAAGGAACCGTAAATACCTTGAAACTATCCTCTTCAGAAGCGTGCGTCGCACAACTTGACTGCTTCGTGAATTACCTTCAAAAATCTACACATATGGAGATTAAAGGTACAAATTTATTTTGCAAGGCCGCAAAAGAGGCAAATCTGCCAGAAAAAGTAAAATCAAAAACGAAGGACAAAGGCCGGAATTCATTTTGCTGCCCGTTCGAGTGTAATACACAAGCTACTGCATCAAAGGGTGAGAATTTGGCTAAAATTTAAAAATATTGGGTCCCCACTTTAAATCTTGAACACAATTTCTAAATCACCAAGAGAACAGTATACAAAGTGAAATTTCATATTGTCCGATAATGTTAAGACGTCGTAAACAAAAATCACATACACTGTAATGTTAAGTCATCAAAAACAAAAGACTACCGGCCATCAAATGATCAAGGAAACAATAAGCAAATAACTCCGTTATCAGTAGACAGAGATATATTATTAACCTTAAAAGCTTCTGTTTTAATTTCAGTTTTACAATTTCTAAGTGTTTGATGTTTAAGTGGATTAACTGATATAAGATATGACCCCTTCTGTAGGACAAAAAAGTTATGAACAGTTTTTAATCTACAACAGAGAACGTCAAGGTCATTCCCACTCAAGTCTTCTTTAAGTGACGAAAATGAAAATGATATTTCTTTAACCTTTTAACCAACTTAAGTCTATTACTTCCTTTTCTTTCACCTTTGGCGTGTTTCCATGTTCAACATAATTGGTCCAAGTCGTTTGATCGTCACTAAAGGACAGACTGAAGTTTGTCACCCATGCTCGAAACCTTATCGCCCACTCAGATATCTCATATTTGCCCTGGGTAGCAACGCCTGTTATGATTTGAACTTGACCGAGATTAACCTGAAGGTACTGGGCTCCGTCATTTTCCCGTGCGCACCAGGCTCCCTCGCCTTCTCTGCTGTATAGCCGTGCCAGCGAAGGCTCATGATCTACATCGTACCAGGACGACGCTGAAAAGGCATTGTTTGGAATAACACCTCTCTCTAGGCCAATTGGATAGGCGCAGTCTGAAAACGATAAGTCAGGAAGAAACATTAGGGGAGAGGAAACATTCTTTAAAATGTTTCCCTGTTAAATAGCTGTAAACGAATTCAGGCACATGACTCTCGTCAGGTGAATAAATTGGTTATTTTTAAAACAAGACTGCATCACAAACATTTAGCTCAAAAGCTCAGTTAGTCACTGTAAACTTGAACGATTTAAAAGCAAACGTTTTCAGCCCAACCCCTTCAAAATTACTCCGACGAACGGCATCAGTTTGGGAATAATATTTACGGTCTTTAAAAAGTTACTTTTATCCTACGCTGACCGTCGTGAAACCGGCTCTAGCTCTCAACAGCACTTTGATCCTGCTGAGTAAGCCCTCCTAAAATAAAAGAACATTGATGGGGGAGCAACTCTGAGTCTTTAGGGGAGTTTGCTGTTCTAAGCATGTTGACTTAACCCAGTTTTTTACAACATCCATACGCCATAGTTCCTTGGATCTACACTCTCTTCTTGAAATGTTAATGGCTTACTTGTTCCATTCCTATGGAGTAGTTAACTTGCCTTCGCATCCATACAGCTCTACCCTCATGCAAATGGCCACATTCCAGAGCACTGGAAGAAACCTGAGAAATCTAACCGACACATGCTTGTATAGGGATACCTCATTTACTGTGGTTCCACCCGAATTACCCTCGAGGGTCTGCAAAATATTTCATATGGCACATACATACATGGTCATACATACATATTCCCGCATGCACATTTACATTTATAGTCAGAAACTAGTGCTAACTCAGTAAAAAATACAATTAACCTTTAAAAGCTTTGAATAAGTCTCATTAGAGGACGTTAGTGTGGTGCATTACTAGAGAAACGTGAAAGCGTTGATCACAAACCAGGAAGGATTAAAAATGCTTAGTGTAAAAGAATTCAGTTAACGTAGGTTTTAATGTAAAGCAAAAGCATAATCACAGCATTAACAATTACCACTGATTGGTCTTCGCCAACAGCTTTTCTCCAGAATATTCCATCTGAACTATATGACAAGCCGTATTGTGTCACCCAGTGACTGAGAGTAGGGTGGCCTTGAGTAGCGATGCTGGAGATCGTCTTGATTCTTCCGAAGTCTATTTGAAGATATTGATGAGTATCATTGTCGCCGGCACACCAAGCTTTCTTTCCATTCAAGCGACCTTCCCACGGTTCGTTTCCTGCTCCAGCGTGACTTGAAGCAGTGAAACTCATGTTGGCGGGTAAATCTCCGCTTTCAGCGCCAAATGGTTCCTGACAAACTTACAAATATAAATGGTAAACGGAATTATATAAAAAAATGAGATTTATTTCTGAAAGAAATAAATGGTTTTATGCTTAATGTGACTGATCATTATTGTATTTCTCCAGCTACCAGCAAAGGAGGGTTTCCTGTCATCCGGGTGATTTGTCACGAAAGTGTCATTTATGTCACGGGTCATGTAAGTCACAGAAGCGAGGCTCAAGGCCTTCTTCCTCGCATTACAAGACAGTCAGAGACATTTTTCCCTCCCTTCCCTCCCGTTAGCTTTATTTTACCCTAGGGAGTGGCGGGTGTGCCCTCACCTTTGCTGGGATAATGTTCTTGTGTATCTGGTTTTCCCAGCTTTATATGCTTTAATTTAATAAACGGCCACTCCCGTGGCCAAAATATCCCATAATGGGTTGGTGATTATTTTGTGTCCCAGCAAACAGAGCTCACCCAAAGCGAGACTCCGCCAACATCAATAACTTTCGTCATATGTAAAGGAACATGAAGCATAAATAATAATATACTACGTATACTGATTTTCACTCAGTCACCTATCACTGATTTACTCATGCGAGCTTGTAATGGAGTTTAATCTTGGTCCCTCCGAACTTTTCTTTGCGGTCTCTTTTATTTTGTCTGTTTTTCTGTTTGTTTGTTTGTTCATTTGTTTTCTTTTAAGCTAATGTTTTTTAGTTTATTTCTAAGGTCACATTTTATGACGTATTTACCAATCGATGAGTTGAATTAAAAACGTCCTTGCGCCAGTTGTTCAAAAGGTGAATAGCGCTATCCACTGGATAAATCACTATCCACTGGACAACGCTATTGGTCTAATTTTTATCCGGTGGATAGCGCTATCCATCTTTTGAGCAGAGTAAAGTGCAATGGTCTCCAGTTAAAATGCTCCCTTATCTCTCACAAGTCAATCATAAGTTTAGTTTTACTGTATTTGACAAACATGCAGTAATCAGGAAAAGGAAAAACATGCAGTTCCACAATTAACAGTCAAATCAACCTCCAAATACCATTATGAAATAAATAAATTGTTTTTGCTGCTAATACTAAAAAGAAAGCCGGAACCTTTATCATCTTTCCGACTATCAGTCGAAATTCACTTACTACAAAGCAAGGAGGAATCGTTATTTTAAATCTAAGGTCTTTCTGATAAAAAAAATTGATAGATTGACGATTAGACAAATTACGGATAAAAAGAATACATAAAAAAGCCCTAGAGATTGAACACACTTCAATTTTATCAAGTCAGGAATATACCTTTCTCTCCATATACTTCGACCCTCATGGATATTCTATTGTAATAGGTCTTTGGCAAGAATCGAATCATCAATGCTGTAATATTATGTCGGAGATAATGCTTGACAACTGTGTTCTGATCACGGTTGCCACTAAACACCTAAAAGTAAAACAAAATTGTTAAGTGCTAACGTACTTTGCAATTTTGGCAGCTGTGTTTGCTCCATAGCTAGATTACTAGCCTGTCCTCGAACGTTTTTCGTCTTTTTTTTCCTACAATCTAGTGAGGGAGTGCGCGACAGAGCGCTCGGTCAATATATCCCCCACGGTTCCATTTTCATACGCGAAAGTAGAGAGTCTGTGAACAGGATAATAGATTACTGGAAACTATTTATCTAGGGTACAGTGTAAGGCATGGGGTTGATACTATCACTTACATTCACTACACTATGGTCATAAATAGGATTACACAAGCACAACAAAGGAATTTGTAAAATCAAAAGCTAACTAACAAGAAATCTTTCCTTACTTTAGCGTGGCCATCTTCGGTATATACTATCCACTCATCTCCCCACGTACTGAAACTCAGCAAGTACGTCTTCACCCAGTTATGCAGTTTGCCACTCCCTTGCGTTGCTACAGCTGTAATCATACTCAGTTGCCTCCCAAAAGTTATTTCTAAGAATGAGGCTCCGTAATCTGTTGCCTCCCAGGAAGCCTCTGGAAGGTTCAACCGTCCCTTTGAAGCCTTATATGAAGCCAACGTGCCGTAGGATGCCACCATATAATCATCTTTAATGATGGTCTCGTTTTCTACGCCCATTGCATCTGAGAAAACTGTGGAAGTCAATGAACAATAAGAGCCGTAAGCTAAAGGGTGATTCCTACCAAAGTATGCAGCTCAGCTACTCCAGACAAGAAAGTTACTTAATATTCATTTCCAAAACTAGCTGATAAAATATGTTGTATTATCGTCCAGGGCCCAGTTGTTCGAACGCCGGTTAGCGCTAGCCCGGGGTTAAATTTTAACCCTGGTTTCTTTTTCTTTCTATCAAAAGCACTCTATCGGATAATTCTATCTATTCTTTTTAGAGTATCCAATCATCAAATTGAAGGCAAAGTGAATTAAGCTGAATTTGCTTTATAAGCTCTCATATTTGAGTTCAAATTTCGCACTAACCCTGGGTTATCTTAACCCAGCTTCGAACAACCCGGCCCAGAAATGTAAGGCGGTCCGATGATCGCATCGGCATGTATGAACATGACAACCATTTCCAAGAACAAAAATTGGGCTATCTTCTTCATCGTAGCGTGGCCGAGGAGGAAGAGCGTTGGACTTGCAATCCGTAGGCCCCAAGTTCAAGTCCTATGGTCAGGAGTTCAAACCCTTTTGCTGCGCTTGTAAATAGCCAACTGCTTGCGTCCAGCCAGCTGAGATTCTTAACTTTGTTAAATTTATCGTCGATTTTTTGTGATTTGTTTATTTCAGATGTTTGCTCGGCCCCACTAGTCTTTGACATAAATTACTGTCGAGGACAAATAAAGTAATTATTTTTCATTATTATGATCATAACTATGGCCGGCTTTTTTTGAGTGGTAAATGTACCGAAAATAAGTTAAAAAACTCACCATCGCAGCCAAAGACTTCAACCCTCATACACATATCACCACTCCAGGCTGTTGGGTGAAATCGCAAGACCACTGCGGTAAATGGGTAATCAATGAGATTCTTTACCTCTGTCAAGCGATCTTTATTTGCACCAAAAACCTGAAAGAGGTTCCACTTCGATTTAGGTATCAATACTACAACGTACGAAGTCTCTTTCTGAGCATGAATGATTGTGTGAACACTCTTACAGTGGATTTTGAACGTAACGAACCTCTTTATAACGAGGTCCCAGGTATAACAAACTATTTTCTTTACCCCAATAATGGTAAAACATATGAAAAAGAACCTCAATATAACAAAACCTCGTTATAGCGAGCACATTTTGCCCGTCCCTTGGCCGTTTCCTCTTGCCTCGGCTTCGACGGTAGAGATATTAAAATTGGGGATGAAAATTTGTAGTAGGTTATCGTGATTGCAATAATGAACAGCAATGTGAAATCGTTTTAAGACTTGAAGGGATTTTTAACGGAAAAGAAAAAAAAACTTTAAAAAAGTTACTATTACAAAATGCGGCACCAGCATAACCTCCCACGCAGACTTTCTTGGAGCTTCGTCACGCGATCCTATCCTTAAGAACGTCTGCGTTGGAGGCTAACACTCTGAGCATGAAAAACGCATGGATCCTTACTGAAGTTCCCGCTGTAGGCGTATTATAGGTAAGTGTAGTATGAAAGAGAAGCTTTTAACTTACGCAAGAAGGTTTAGGATATGCCCTGTACGTACCTTAGGATTATTTCCATCTTTGTAATATTTCCATGTTCCACCATCGGAGCTGTACGAGAGTTCATATTCGGTTACCCATTCATTATAGTTATGACTACCTTGGCTTGCTACCGCGGTGACTTTTCTCTGTTTTGGTCCTAAATCGACCTAAAGCAATCAAATTGTAAAAAACTTTAACTAGCGTAAAAATAGATACCACCACCTTACATGTCAAATACGTTGCCTCTCATTAACGAGCAATGAATAAAGTGACCCGGCAAAAATGATACAAAAAGAATGACATGGACAGATTATCAATGGTTGTATATTGCGAATTATCCACGATCAGGCAGCCTGGCTACTTTGGCATCAGTAAAGAATTCAAGAAAATGTAGAAAGAGTTTACAAATAAAATGCGAAGAGAAAATAGCCCAAGTACTGACAAAAACTAAACGAAACGGATGAGATCATAAGGAAAAAAAATATTACTCCATGAATGCCACATTCTTTTTAGGAACCTCTGCAAGAATAAATATCTGTTCATATTCTAAATGCTTCACGTCATACTTGTAACCTTGTTAAAAGTGTTTAGTAAATTTTACAACCTGAATATATTGATTAACGTCGAGCAAGGTAGAGCACCAGCTGCGTCGTGATTCGTTGTTTAAACGGCCATACCAAGGATCGCTTCTACCTGGCTGCCAAGTGGTGGCAGTTAAAGAGTCATCCGATATCTCATTGGTGGAGAGTCCCAAGGGATCTGAACAGTCTGTTATACGTAGAGGGAAAATTTCATTTCATGGCGATTACATTAAAGGACAAGGGCGAAAACAATATTCTCACCAGAATAACTTGACCTAGTCATATAGCAAAAGTTCTTCTCACTTACTTTCTCTTGACCGGGATTAAGATGGATTGCAGTAGAGATATAATGTCTACTCACTATCTTTCCATTTAGCTGATAAAATAATCTATTTTCACTTAAGAGTATGTTACATTTGGGATGCCCAATATTTTATTTTCATGCTTTAGATTACAATTTAAAAGAATGGGTGACTGCCCAAGTATTTACCTTGAGATTCTACAAGTATCGAACTGGTCTAGAAAAAAAGAGAAGAACACATATTAGTGAAAAATCATTGTGAAGAATCGTCATGGCGAATAAACACGAGAGAAAGATTCAAACAGAGAGACGAGAAGAAATTTGTTCCTGGTGATATCCTATTGGGGCTTGCATCAAAGGCAAGAACGGTCTCCTAAATTAAAAGGAGTAAAAAGTTGCAAGCTTAACATAATAGCTCTGATGAAAATACACCGGCGCTTTCATTATTCCTATCTCAAAAGTTTGGAATATTTACAGCCCTTTGTGTGAATGGAAGTATAAATATATAATGTTAACAAATAGCGCTAATCGAGAACCAGTGTTTACATAAATTAATCTTGATTCCCTTGATAGTCTACGAGCTCTCTGGGACATCTTCAATAGTTAATTTCAATTAACTATAACATGCTTCGATTTACAAAATAATTAGTAAAAAGAATTTCAATTTATTGAGGTCGATTAGAAGAAAAGAAATGAATGGTGAGCTACAGCTTCATATTTCATTGCATTTTTTTCTTCAATAAAATACTTTAAAACTCTCTTTACAGTGGTAATAAGAAACATGCAAGTACAAAAGCATGGACAAAGATGAAGCAAATTTTTCAAGCGCAGTTAAAACAAATTGGGATAAATCGTGTAACAGAAAATAATCTAAGGATTATGAAAATCTTAGGATAACCGAGAAGAGGGAAGTGGAAAGTACTTACCTCGAGTACTAACAATAAATAAACGATCATCATCTTTTTTGTCTTGATGCTTCGCTAAAGAGGAAGGATCCCTATAAAATACTTTGCCTCCATTCTAGAAA